ACTGGGGGCAGTGATCGCATGTATTCAGAAAATCGTTTGATGCAGTCTGATTTGACAAAATTACTACTGCTCCATAGTGCGAAGAATTTCCCGAGCAGACGCAATGTCGTGTCGTTCAAAGGTAGAATCGGTAATCGTCGTATTGTCTCCAACAAACGCCATCTTTTCTGCGAACCGATTGGAGAGGGCCCAAGGACTGTGAGCAAGACGAAATAATACATATATCAAGTAAATTGTCAAACTCACGCTTAGCGGGGACTAATTTGTCCAGTTGGCGAGGTTTTGCTGTGACTGGCGGTCTGTGGGCGACTATGTGCTGTACCACTTTACATATAACCATTACATTTGTAGCTATTTTGTTATGGATTTCGACTGCGCATGAGCCCGCTTACTTTGACTAACGTAAAGAGCTAATCATTATTTCAAACTGCCCCAGTTTCTAAGTTACACAAAGTATAATCACCTCAGGTAACATAATGGCATACAACCACTTCTATTCATTGTTTTATTAAAGTAGTGGAGTTGATCAGGACTGCCCGATCTCACTATTCTTCCTCTGCTTTGCCATCGATGACGTACTGGAAAGAGCTTTGATGGATATAGGCAATATGGATGTGGATCTGTTACGCGAATAAGGGTTTTTCCACCTTTAGTTAGCAGATAATATGGTTTTACTGTGAGACGAGACCCAAGCGATTCATTCTTAATCTAACAAGTTGGCGTGTGCCAATCTGGACCACCTATAGAATCCGAACCGAGGTTTGGATTTATGAATAACTGCTCAGGAAGTTTAGACACGCATCTTGCCCAGTCGAAATCTATATAAGTAACGGTTCTATTGTTAACCATAAATATAGATAAACATCATTACCTAAACAGTAATACAACTGTTAATCCTTCAATAATAACACAAAGTGTTTCCACTTCTGGAAGGGTGCTCCGAATTCGAGTCCGTGTCCGTTTTCTAACCGCTAAAGGGACAAAACCAATATGGCTGTCGCCATAATTAAGTATTAACTTAAACAACATAATGCAGTTCTGAAGGAAACATAGAAACTCAGAAAAGGCACAAAAATAGAAACTATAATCGAGTACAAATAATAACATCCCAAAATGGAATTAAACAGATTACCAAAACGTAGCTCTGAAAGAATCTATATGTACATATTACAAATGTATACGTGGAGGGATTTTCCCAAACAAAGCCTTCCAAAATGGACTCTACACCACCTTTGAAGGCTTCGTAGTGTTAGTCCGGCTGTGAAAGATGAGGTCTACACTTCGTTTGTGAGAGCATTTTTTCTCTTAGAAAGTGAAACCTGTCCTTCGAGTTCACGATCTTAGGCAGCTTTCTGTGCTCGATCATCACTGTCTGTGAACGATGGCTGACATTCAGAGGCAACACCATGAAAAAGAATGTTTAAACAATTCAACGTATTTTATCTGGAATCTGAATCATGTTCACAGGAGTTATTGTTTTAAACAAACATTATATTGAGCTACTAAAGTTGCCCTAAGAAAACTCAGTGCAACGTACTCCGTAATACGTTTATCGAGACCGTTTGGTTTCTAAAATTTTCCATTTATTGGATGTAGGGTATGTGATCGTTTGAACATAATAGGGTCCATATTTTTCAGGCTTTCTCAGAGGAAATATGAAAGAGACAAAACATTAAATCGTTTGAACTCCTTGGATATAACGACTGTCAGTAAGCGAAATGTATAGCAGTGTAATAAAAATATGAAAATAAGCTCAGGGTTTGGGTCACAGTATTATATAGGACAACGTTTGAATAGTCAGGAACACACCAAGTGAGTAACTCTGAATTATTTTACAAAAAGACTATTGAGGGTAGAAAAATTTATCGTTTATCGCGTCATGCGCCAGTACACTTATGTGCGTCTCGGTTGTCTTAACAGTTTATCACCAGGTGAAAGATAAGATGCAATGAAAAGTCTTGTCTACTCTATTTCCTTTACTAAAAATAAAGTAGATGAAAGAATGTATATTATATTTAGCTTACCTTCTTTTTTACATTTGTAGTTAGCTTGTTGGGGTAAAGACCAACTTGAAACGCAATCGTGTTTTAAAAATTAATAACACGCTTGGCGCGCGTGAGATGGTCTTTTGTACAGATAAACAAAAGGAGTACAATATAACAATTATTGTCAGAATTAAGTACAATAACAAATATTTATATTTTAGCAATTGTATCTTATTCTTAAAAGTATACCACTACAGTTGTATCTACTAGCTATGATAAACCCATTCAATAAATAAAACCATACACATAATGCATGTAGGGGATGAAGATGGTTTTGAGTAATAAGCATAATGTTTATGTAACTGGGAAATTCCTAACTCCAATACCCAATGATTAGTCTGATGGCTTTTATTTACTTATTATTGTTTATTTAATCGATTCGGATGTGCTTGTTATATGCTGGCGGAAGTTAGAAGGCATATACAACAAAATACCTAGCGGTATCTGATCTAAATTAATACAAGCACGGAGCAGTAAATATTTCATTTCTATTTCTAAGCAGTTTGTGTTCAACACTAACAGTTATTTTGTTGGTCACTTCACGCTTAATGTTATGAATTAGTCCATATTACTTGGTATATTACTGTCATCGAATCCCGAAATACCAAGATATAACAACTGTTGATCAAGAAAGAAGCAAAATTCTACTTCAAATTCTATCATTTATTCATGTCATAAAATAGGTTTTATGGGATGAAAAATCTTGGTGGTGACGTAATGAGACATTAGTATTACTATTCCTTCTTAACCATTGTATCCGGATAATTTGTCTATATATTCGAAAGATTGTTGTTTGTAATGAAACCAACTGGAGTAGGGTCGAGAATAGATACAATAAGCCAAAACTAATAAGCTTGGGGATCAAAGATATCAAATAATGGTTCCAAATAAGTAATGAAGACTTGATCATCTGCTATTTGGGTTTAGTGAAACCAACTAATGTCAGCATCATTTGTTGACCACGTATTACCCTAATTGTGGAGAATTATTTTCCATTGCACTTTCCATAATTCTAAAGTTAAGGATAAAACGTTTTGCACAAATGCAAATATTTTGGTAAATTCCTGATTTGTCTGTGTCTCGCGTTATAAGCGAAAAATAAACAATGATACTGAGGTCATTAATAAAAATATTTGAAGAATCCTATTGAGTTGAACAGTTATACTGAGATTTCTTTCAACAAAGTAATCTAAAAACGACTGCTATTTATGTTTATTTTCATTTTCTTAAGTGAATTTAGTCTGATCTTTGAACGCACTGATCGGAATGGAGAAAGTTTTTTCATGACGACAAAATGTCATTCGCAAAAATCTTTGATTCTGTATGTAGCATAAACAGGTTGGCTACAATCCGATTGTTACTCCGTTTGTTTGTCTGCACAACGTTCCGCTGAAGGTTAATATGGTTGAACTTAAACAGTTTTCGGGATTTCTTGAATAAACTGATGCTTCATTGACTCATTCTCTAAAGTAGTGGCATACAACGAGTCAAAAAAGTTTAGTTATCTGGATATTACAAGTCTATTATTTTTATTATTAACAATCCACCCAATCTTTAATTTATTGGCTATCATTAAGTGAAACCTTGGTAATGATGCTGCAGATGCTGTTCACTTTTACTAGATACTTCAACGACTGGCTTTTACAACCTCAATTTGACTCTTTAACCGGTTGAAGAACTCTGATGTTGGTAAAATCAGACTTCTTTACTATTGGATAAGATAATATCTCTGATACAGATTTCTGTATCTAAATATATTTTGCTCCTAATGATGCATCTGATGTTACTTTTGAACTGAAGACCAACTTACTTCGGTTATTTATCTAGAACATTTTCGTTTTTCTTTAAATCTATTCACTCCATGCATGAAGACCCTGTGGGATTGGGTCATATAACAACACTTAACTTCACGGTTGACACTGTGCCAACTCGTAACAAAACGACCTGGTTCGATGCACATCCACTTTAATTCCATTTTAGGTATGGTTGACCAGTATTTAAATTTATGCAGTTTGAATTGTTTAAATTTTTATTTGAATTAAAATTACAAATAACTTCTCAATCTGTTTGCATAACTGACTGTATGATTTCGATTGTGATTATAAATAAATGAATAAGGGTATTACAAGAATAGGAAGTTTATGTTTAGACCTCGCCGAACAAAAATGAGGATATATGATTATTAATATTATTGTTATTGTTATTATGAGGAATTAAAAGGATGGAAACTATCTGAAACCATGAAAGAGCTACACTCAGGACTAAAACAGTTTAGGACAGATGCTTAAATTAGCTGAAAAACAACGTCGCAAACAAAGAAAAGCTTTTTAAAGCTGTAGCTATCGAAAGGGAATTCAAGTGTTTAACTTGTTGAATTTTTGTCTGAATTAAACTTTGATTCAGTAGAAAAGACTTCTGTAGACTGTTTTATAGAATATTCAGTGGTTTAAATTCGAATCAGATGTAGGAAAACCCATAAAATCACTGCTTCCATAATTATCCCTCTTTGGGAATAGAAGGATCATTCAACACAAGTATTCATTTCGTAATCACAATCCATCATGTTTAAATCAAATTCATCAAAAATTCTTTTTTTTCTAACTTTTGAGAATATCACAGAAGACTTATTAACTTCATCACAATTTGGTTCTTCATATTATCGGCCACTAGAAATGGTGAGTTTGGTCAAACTAATATCGCTCAACTTGCATCCATTTCAAATCCGAATACTGCACGCATTTCTTTAAGGGAGTTCCCAAAAAAATTTTTCACCACTGAATTTCTGATGTTGAAACAACTAAAAAAATAAATCAATTTATTATCCTTTACTGTTGGAACACTAATTCTCTTTTATAGTTTTTCGTAAAATGAATTTTGTCTAAGATTTACTTCATTTTGAATTCGTTTACTTTGTTTTAAATCGATTTCCCATCAATAAACAAGAAAAATTTATAATTTTTAGATAAATCATTATATTTTCTTCACCGATGTCTTTGAAAATTTAAGAAATTAACGTGTTACTTTATAATGACATCAATCTTAACCGTGCATACACAATGCAGATTTATTAATCTGCAGAACTATGGAATAATAGTGGAGACATAACCATTCTTCAACAGGCTGAGTATGAGAGAGAGAGAAATAAATATTGTGAACCTAAATGAGCAGATAGTTACACTTACAGAAAAATGAGTCTTAATGTTTATACACTTTGGTGCGAAAATAAGGGTGACTAAATATGGTAGTCAGTTTACATTATACTCATTTTAACTGAAAGTAAATATAAATGAGGTATTTACACATAATGAAATGTTGGCAGTGTATAGATTTCTGGTATCTGATGAGATCATGAATTCGAATAAGCGTTTTAAACTGAAATTGTGATTATAAATTCGTTCTTAAAAAGATGCAAAGTTACAAAAAATGTACTACCACAGAGCTACAAGTTTTGTGGGGAATATGTTGGATCAGGCCAGTATCGGTCACTAGAACCTTGATCAGTATCACTGTCTTCTTGTCGGCCATTTGGGTTATTCTGATTTGATCCTAAGGGTTCTGTCCAACTGGAAGTTTCATCTACAGCATCTTCACCTGCTTGTTCCGGCAAACTGGAATCAGCAACGCTTCTGTGAATTTGTAATTGTCTGAGATAATAACGCCGTTGACGAGCATTACGTCGAAGCCAAAGTTGGCGGTTTAGAAATGGTAAACTATTTTCCGATTCTTCATCGACTGCTGTCAAGATATAAGATGCTTCATTTGGATTTAATTGGTCTGAATTGCTATTTTCTGGAGTAGGGATGGCATCGGGCCATTGAGGCCACACATAGCCTGCAGCAGCCTCAAATGATGTATTAACTGGAATACCGTTTCTCATTTCAAGTCCTATTCTCTGTGTATTCAAAGTAGGATCATCTACTGATTGTTGTACCGAGTTTCTTGGTTCCGTCGGAATTGACGAACCTGTTGATAAGAAATTTCGATTATGTTGGTTAGGTAAGTTGACTGTCATACTACTTCTGCTTTCACTACTTGTGTAACCGAAATTTGACAACATTAAATGACTTAATGAACTATCTTGGTCACTAGACAATAAGGGCTGTCCACTACTTGCCCACGAATCAGTTGAAAACAAACCAACATTAAACTGTTCATTATTTCGGTTATTTTTCGGTGTATTGCTATTTATCTTAAAATTATGGTCACTATTCCCTGTTCCATTCGCTCCATCAACTTTAATTAATGTAGGATGACTGTGTGTGGCAAATGATGAATTACCCCAACGTTCACCTATTCCAGAGTTTATACTTAAGGATGCCGACATTGTATAATCAGTGCGAGCTCCGACACTGCGTCGTTTTTGTCGCGAATATTTCCCTGTACGATTGACTTGCAAGACTGCTGGAGGCAATAATAAACTAGTACGTGTACGTCTGCCAACATCAAAGCGCCGATTTGTTAGCCCACTACTTGAACTTGAGTTTTGTAGAGGTGAACAGGAATTTCCACTTTTCATTGACTGAAATGAAGGAACAGTTTGGTCTGATTGCCGAAAACGTTCAGCAGACAATCGAGCAGTCGGGTAAATTGTAGCACGACTTCTTGAATCTCCAGTACTACCGTAAACTTCAGTATTTGAACTGCTTTCATTCTAAAGTGTCAAGTGCAGAAAAAAAGTTTGGATATCGTTGATTTCTTTAAGTAAACAATTAACATGTGGATAATTTTTGATAATGTTAAATATCAATTACCTAAAATGAAAATGTACCTATTACCTGATTAGGATTCATAAAATCTTATATTTGTTAACACTGATGAATATAACATACTGAGATCTGAGTTACTTGTTCAACAGTAAACGTAATAGCTACTGACATTAAGATAAGCGTTAAACAGTCTCTTTACTTAAAAACAAAACACTAAGTTTGGATATAGATGGAAGTACAATGACTTAGTGTACTTTATGGTATGCAAATTTGTTTCTTTGTAGCATTTTAGATCATGTTCATTGAACAGTATTTTTTGAGACTTCTTATTTTTCGATCATTATTTATGTACTAAAATACCTCGTAAAAGTAAGTTGTACCGAAAAAAAGTGAAATGGAATGAGTTTATCTAGACAAGTACCGAATAAACTCCACAATAGAATTTTCATATAATCAAAACTCGCCAAGTCATTTGGATTATACTGAGCTTAAGAAGCTAAACTACACCCAATAATTACTTCCCTAATCGTTTTTAAAGGAAGTTAGGACACTAAAAACCAAATTAACAAGTAAATTATCAACCATTGTGAAGTCATGGATTCGAGTAATTTAGTACATGAAGCTCAATATGTTACCCATAGTTAAGTGGGATCTTTGGCAAGCTCATCTGTTAATTATCTCATGAACCAGGAACATTTGACCTGTTTCAATACATGCTCGTAAGTGCTTTACAGAGTTCAACTGATGTTTTAGATAATTGAGAATAACCCATCTACACTTCATTAAAGCATTGATAATAAAAAGCCTAAACTTCAACTGTGTTATGGATATAAACAAGCCCAATCTTTTCTGTTTTGTGAAAATTAATAGTTCAGTTAGCATTCACTTTTTCACAAACTGGCTATCAATGAAGATTAGAAGGAAAATTTATGGGACTCAGCGTCGCAAACGTACAGAGGTTTATATTTTATAAGCTAGAGGTTTAATGGTAGCCCTAGAAGGATTGCAAGTTCACGAATTGTTCCTATTACTGGTGTATCTTTTGGCTTTCGCAGTATAACAAAAATAAAACTAACAGTTGAGGTAAATGGCCATTTGTTTTAGCAAAGCGATAGAAAAGAATCACTGGTGTTCATGATTCACGCTGAGTTTTTAGATATTATCCAAAAATACTTGTTGACCGACTGAGGAAATTCGGCATTTCTAGTTCATATACGGTAATTCACCTTAGAAAAATTTTTACTGTTAACTATGCATTGTATATCTTGAAAATAAAGTTTGTGTGGTGCACTGACCGTCTTTGTCTGTTTGAAACTATAGTACAGTTGGCCTGAATTCCCTGACATTGAATGAGAAAGATATTTTATTTGACAGAATTTTGATCTTACAAAAATTATTGTATCTCAATAATAATAATAATAATAATAATAATAATAATAATAATAATAATAATAAATGTAACACGACTAACTTAAAAAAAATGTAAAAATCCCATTCCAGTCTTATTTTTGTGCTATACTTTATTATTTAATTGGACAGCTATGAATGGTGAGAGGTAATTAAAACAACTTTAGAACAACATATATAAGCGAACAATATTGTTTTCGATTAGATCGTCATCAGGCTTTACTCTAATATACATGAATATTTATATGAAAATGTTAAACCAACCAAGGCAGTTTGAGTGATAATCACAATGAAATGAAAAAGATTACGTAACTACGTCTAATAGGCAAAAGTTCAAGTGGATAGTAGGAAAACAGGTGTACTGATAGTAGTAAGAAAATTTATAAAATATGATAACTAAAGTAGGTCAAGGGTGGATGAATAGAATTCAAATTATCATCAAAAACACCAAAAACATTACGTAATAAGCAAATGTGTAAAAATAAAATAAAATAAAAAATAAAAAAATATATAATGTCCATCGTTAGTTACGTCATATCCGGCCACGGAAGAGATAGGGGTGTCACAAATTTCTTCTGAACACATAAATTAGGGTTGAATGTACGTATTCCTATGGCTTCTGCAATGTGTAGGAGACGGGATCGAACTCCGTTGGGAAATGATGGAGGTATACGATAGATCACCCGAAAAGATCTAGATTTATCTACAATGTGACCACTGTCTACCAGGTGTGCTAAGATAGAACTGGGTATTGTTTTTGACTGACCCTTCGTAAATCATGCTGGGAGATGTTCACTCATTCGTTGTGTAAGTTGCCTGGAAGTACGCCCGATATAGCTATCTCCACAGGAGCAGCTGAATTTGTAAATGCACATAGAGGAGGCCAGCTCAGGTAACTTATCCTTCGTTTGAGTAGACATCGCTGGTCGACTGGAGAAAGCCAATGCAAGTTTGGCAGCGTTGAATGTTCTGTTGATTACTCTTATTAATCTGTCCTGCAGAGTATCGCAGGCCACATCTCCGTTGAATTGTAGCTTCATAAATAAAGGCTTCTTTTGGGCGGTCGAAACCACCGACTTCTTTTTTACGGCAAACATATACTTCTTTATAAATGCGCTGGGAAAACCAATCTCGGTTAGTGAGCCGTTGATGAATTCCAGCTCCTGACTTAAAGTATCCATTGAACATATCATATTTGCTCTGTAAGTGAGACATCTAACCAAATTTCTTTTGTAGCGGATAGGTGTATAACTACAAAAGAGAGTGTGTTGGCAAGCACTGGGATTTTTTCGATACACGCTTCTACTTAGTGAACCATCATTTCGCCTACTTAGTGTCATGTCAAGGAAAGACAGTTTTTTATCATATTCTTCTTCACCAGTGAACGTGATTGCCGGGTGTACACCGTTGAATTGTTCTAAGAGTTTTTTTTCTGGTGTCCTGATATACAATGATGAATGTGTCATCGACATAACGGCAATATAGATCAAGTTTCTGAATAACTTTGTTGAGTGGTCCATTTTCTAGCTTTGCTAGAAAGAGATCAGCTAGAATTGGGCCTAGAGGTGAGCCCATGGCTATACCGTCTATCTGTCTATAATAATTGTTGTTGAATACGAAATGGACATTCATCGTACATCTTAGGAGTAATTCCTTAAGGCAATCTTCGGGCAAGCCAATGTTGATTTGTTTTTCCTTAATTTGCTCGCATATGAATTCAATAGTCTCGAGGAGTGGTACGTTAGTGAACAAAGAAACCACAACCAGTGAGAATATATTTTTCTTGCTAACGTTCATACTTTCTACTTTAGAAGTGAACTCAAAAACGTCTTTTACACTTCTTCGCACAACTGATTTATGTAAAGGCTCTAAAATTCGTACTAACCACTTCGCAATTTTGTAGTAAGGAGAATTGTACATATCAAGGACCGGGCGCAGAGGAAGAGCCGATTTGTGGACTTTAGGCAAACCATATAGTCGTGGTGTATATGATCCAGTCGGTTTAATCGAGTCGTGAATTACTCCCTTTTTCCTTAGTTTTTTAAGCGAATTCGTCAGTTGTTTTTCCACTTTTTTATTGTTGCCGTTATTACTGGTGACTTTCTGAAATTTGCTAGGATCATCTAGCATTCCTTCCATTTTTGCAATGTAATCAGATTTATTCATAAGAACTATACCTCCCCCCTTGTCTGGTTTGCTCATGATCAAAGTATCATCTTTTTTGAGTTTTGTTAGAGCCTCATGGTGCAGTTTAGTAAAAAGGCGATTAGTAGAACGCTTACTGTTTTTATATTGCTGGCAGCTATCGACTAAAGTTGTCTTAAATCTGGCGACATCCTCCACTGAGGTGGGGAACAGGTCGGTTGTTTGTGAAAACAAATTTTCAAAATGCAGATCGGTGTCTAGGTGGTTGATTTTCTGACCATTATCACAAAATTTTGGCTCCAGGGACAAAGCCTCTAACTGTATTACATCAAGTTCAATGTCTGAAAAGTTATCTATATCTGTCTGTTGTGAACACATCGACGCATCCCGGCATGTTGAGTAACAGGCGCAAACATAGTGAATCATTCACTTATATGGACTTATCTGAACCAAAATATGACTGAAAATGATGGATACGCCGACTCTGAAAAACGGATGCATAATGCCGCACTTATTTTTAACAGAGATTTAACACATGCCGATTAGTTTGTTAGAGCGTAATGAAATAGACTTAAGAGTAAACTGTTGTTTTACCTCGAACTTATCTGATTATGATTTGGAATTATCGGTGTAGAGTTATTGAATCACATTAGTAAAATCAAGTTGATGTTTAAAAGCAGTAAGAAAATATGTTTTACTTTTTAGGAAGAGCCCTGAAAGGTTGGTAATGAAGTTAGGAATAAAATACAACATCAAATATAATATCTTACCCTAGAGTGAAGATAAAGATGTGGTTGACGTGCAAAATCCTTAAACATGTTATATAGTTCCACAAAATTCGGTCGAGCATCAGGATTTTCATTCCAACCTATCAGACGATAAAATTTAGGAACACATATTAAATTACATAGTGAGATGAAAAAGTGGACAGTGTTTTCTACTTCAATGTTATTTTTACCCGTTAAAGAACTCATAAGTAGTTGAATTATCTAAAATGCTCATAGAAATTTGCTTACCCAACACTAATACAATGAATGTACTGATCCTTCTGGATATATTGAAAGTAAGCTTTTAGATGTTTTAGTAATCACAGTTCTACATAATTAGACTAGAATAAATTTATAATTGAGAATATAAAATTGTTAATCTTAAATATTCCAATGTAGCTAATTTCTTGAAATATTGAACAACATGATTTTCATTAATTAACCTCATTAAGTAAAATTTCTATTCATAAATTCCAGGTATGATTTTCGCATAATTTCAATGATTTGTTTGACTGGCTCTCAGATTTATTTTTTAACGGAATTATTGATCAATATTACTTGACTGTCTTTAAAGATTTAGTTTTGAATAATAAGTTTTATTGTAATGACATTTTAATTGAACTTACAATTCAACATAAGTTGATACAGTTCAAGCGTGCATATATCAGGTTGTGGAAGACGTCCACCGGCTAAAACATGATCTTTTACATTAGCTGTTTCGATGCGATCAAATGGTTTGTCCCCGAATGTGAATATTTCCCAAATGGTGACACCTGTGAATGTGATACAAAATTTACACCTTAAATTTCCAAAATGTTTATGTTTACAAAGTTATGTAAGTGATACTTGATAAGGATCAAATTTTAAGTCTTGAAGACCCAGTGTTAATTCATAGTTTGAAATTATTTCAGACTCATTACTGAAACATAAAAACCTAACTCATTTTCGTTCTTAAGGTCAAAGTACACTAGTTGAAAAATGTTCCATTTAAGAATGTTTATGTACAATTTCGAAGCCATAAGTAAATAGTATAACTTTACGTGAAAATTAACTTGATTTCCTATAAATTAGTAAAAAATTATTCAATATATCTGATAAAAACTTATTCGAATCTAATTATTTTACTTAATAATGGCTACTAATGAATTTCAAGACGTGAATTTTGTATCATTTAGGACTTATTGTTCAGTTACGCCCACATTTTAACATGTGTTTGAGGTGAGAATTAATTTCAACCTATGGTTCACTACACTCCATGGTGTTATGTATTAGTCTAGTAAGCAATAAATATTTTGTACATTGTGTTTAGGTTACTATAACCGGTTTATAACTCTCCTGAGAGCAAAGTGATCAATGTTTCCTACGGAAAAACACGAATAAATGTCTTTCACTAGTCCCAGTTTTCCTATAGTCTCGTAAGGTAGATATCTTGATAAGCCATAAAAGTAAGTATTAACGTTAAGTTCATTGAATTAAATCGTCTCAGACATGTATTTATTCATAGACAGTGCGTGCGTATAAAACAGTTACTAGATGAATGATAGATTAGTGTGACAATTTTCATAATAAATATACTGATTTAAAATTAAGAAATGTCAAGAAAATAATCAATAATTTTTTTTACTGGGGGGGGGGGGAAAGATTCGTTTCTTAATAAGCCTGAAATTTCATGTTTATTCATTTCAATATGTTTGTTACGTGAGAAATGTGAAGTGCTTTTTTTGATGAAGATTTATCTCAGATAAATTGATGAATTTAATCTGAGTGTCTTACTTACCGTACGCCCAAACATCAGTTTTGAATGAATAAATACGATGAGTTAGCGTTTCACAAGCTAACCAACGAATAGGAACGCGTCCAGAACAAACAATTACTTCGTTTCGTTTAGCTTCTTCTTCACTTTCCAGCATTTTCGCCAAACCAAAATCAGTAATTTGTAAATGTTCTGGTGATGTCACTAAAACATTTCGAGTAGCCAGATCACTAAAATCCATAAAATTAGATCAAAAGCTACTTAGTTCATATGCATGTAATTGAAGCTATATATTCTTTAACTTATTGAATAGGCATTCAAATTTACGAGGACCTATATATGGACGCGGATATTTTCTATTTGAATAATTAATACTATGTTGAACTCTGACAGTCAAAATATGCATTGGATTAGCTAAGACTTATTCGTTAGTTTACGTATCACGGTAGTATTTTAGTGGAGATGATGGAGTTCATTTGGTGATAATATGAGTAAAATAAATCGTGGAATAAATGAATTTGCCGAATGACTAGAAATTATCAAATATGAGAGACTAAAGGCTAAATGCACAAGTGCGACACTGTACAAGTATATTAGTGAAGATGATTATGAGAATATTATTGAAGCTGATTATATCATAGGATAAACAAAATGAGTAGATACCAATAGAATGTCATTAATCCAATGGAGGGAACTCGGGTCAAGTGAAAGAAAGTAATTTCACAAACTGCCCTTGTGTGACTGTGGACTTTTTATGGTCATCATTACTAAGGAGAAAATGAGAGGTATGTATAAGCTGTCCGTAGATCCTGTTAGGCTTTATAAATCATCTCAAACTATGTGCCTGATACTACCTGGACACGGTCAATAAACTGTTATAAAAGTGAAGATTTATGCTGTAGCTTTGTTTGATTGGTTCAAACAAAGAGATGCTTTCTTGTTCACAAGATGTTCATCGATAAACGACTGAAATACTTAGCTTCACATGAGTAGGTGAATTTACACAGAAATGGTCAAGCGAGGTGCCTTGTCACTTTAGCTTTCCGTAGTGATTTGGTCAAGCGATTCCCTAGAATTTCATTCATGATTTTCACTCCTAAATTTCCGACCAAAATGTGTATTCTTCTTTTACAGGTCCGTGATTTTTGAGGGACCTGTGCTATACTTCATGCCAAATATAACACTGAAGGAAAGCTATGATAGATTAGATTAGCTTTAAGAGATCCAAGTGACTCTTCCATGCTACCTTAAAGCGAACTTACTGTGTGAGGTGGGATAATCGATCAAACCTCGTATCTTGTTCGTACAAACAAAGTAGAGGGAAATCCTAGTTACTAGGATGTTTCTATATCGAAGTATATGAAAGAACATTTATTCATCAGAATCCCAATTTATATCAGCTATTGTTCTATTCATTATTACTGGAAATCAGTAGAGTAGACAGTGTTAATAGCTTTGGAAGATAACTGAAAACTTCAAACTGAAACTGCACACATTCAATGTAACCGAGTTATTATGGTAAAGAAAGTGCTCGACATATATTTTATGCTATGTTAAAATTTTTGTTCATAGACTAGAAAGAAATCTCAAATGATTATTTCACAATAGTCTCAAAATGAAACTGCTTAACAAGTGACATGTTATAATAAAAAATAGAATTACTCACCGATGGATTATTCCCCGCGATTGTAAGTATGCCATTCCATCAGCAATTTGAGATGCCCAATCTAGAAGAACTAAAGAGCTAATATTTGGTGCACGCAGTCGAAGATAACGATCTAAACTTCCGTTTACTACGTATGCTGAAACTAAGCATTTTCTTGATTGAGATAAACATATCCCGAGAAGTGGGAGACAGTGATAATGCGAGACAGACGCCATAACCTGAAATACGGAAGAGAATAATTAACAATGGTTTCTTTTTTATTCTCTAGAAGGAAAATTGGATGCAATACTTTAATGTGCATATAAGGTGCACTTTGAAATAGCTCACTATATATTTTGTAGCTGTGGTTGACGACTATGTTCAGTTGTTCAAACCTTATGGTTTTACAAAGTACTTCGTATTAGGTATTAAGTATACTTAATTTTAGATAAGATGATCAGATAGTTTGTGAAAACTACAGTGGGCATAGTTAACAGGTATATGTAAGTATGAGCATAGAAATTTTCATGGACTGGCGTTTAACATAAGTAATCCGCGAACTACATTATCTGGAATTCTTAATTTAGGATAAAAATGTCATTTAGCACTGTTAAACAGTTTGGTGACTCAGGGAGTTCTTCATTACGATTCCAAGGATTTTTTAGTTTTTCTGTTTCATTCATATTGATCAAACTTAATTGGTTCTGTGTAAGTTTGGTTAATTATCTCGTTTGAAGTTATTATCTATGGTAAGTAATTTATGTATTTTAAGTTGCTTATTTACGAACAAGGTTTTTCTGTATTCCGTCAAGAGCCACATGTTATGTATCGAGACTAGAAATACTACTCGATCGCCCAAAGCAATTAGTTTAGAACAGAGCTTGAACACGAGGCGCATTAGTTAGAATATTAGTGTATTAAACATAAAGTCACCTCTCTATATATAGTAATTTATCAAATATTGAAAACATCAAGTTATTATCATACATTTCGATGGGGTAATGAGAAGATGTGGTTTGTGCTATAAGTTCCGAACAATCTGATCACATATATATTTGCCAGGAAATTACACGGGGTTCTTATTATGTTAACTGGTAAAATAATAGAAACACTTGAGTTATCAGCATCTAAAAATCTTAGAATTACCTTTGCTTCATCCAGTAGTGCTTGCAGATCACTTGACCCACGAACTTCATTCAAAATCTTAACAGCAACACATAGTAGTTTGTATTCCTTTTTAGATTTTTCTGTCGATGCTTTAGACGCAGTAGTAATGCTGTTACTAGTTTGACTAGTATCTTCATCGGTATTATTGTTCTTAGAGTTAGTAACTGATGGTTGCTCTGTAGTTGATGTGTGCACTTCATCCGCTTGAACATTACTGGAACCTACCTGGCTTGTAGACACCATGTTCATTTCATTCATTGTAGTAGATGTCAACAATGATCGACAGTTTTGTAAATTAACTTTGAACATTAACTCCTCTTCGTTATTCGCTGTAATCACATGATTCAGATTTGGTAGATTTGGATAATCACTTTGGCAAACTTTCCAAATTCCTTGATACACTGCTCCAAATGCACCTGTGCCTAAGGGACCAGATTTTTCATTTAAGCACAAGTCATCTAAGTTGATCATAACTAATCTGCCTAAATTTGGTGCTTTTTGTCCGTTCACAATCTAATTCGTATGAAAGAAAGGACCAATTATCAAGTAATAAACTATGGTCAAATACATATCAAGGGATCGACCTAGATTTTTTAGAACGATAAAAACTCACTGCTGCTATTTTAAAAAACAATAGGAACCATGTACAATAAACTAAATCAGTGTAAGCTAACAAAAATTTATTAGACATAATAAACACTCATCATATAAATTTGAGTTAATTTAGATCGTTAGATTATTTCACTGAAGAAGAGACTTAGAGTAAGTCATGAACGTTAGAAATTCAATTTTCTATTTCTCAGGATATTACAAACACATTAGTGTTTCATCATTATGAATAATTCACTAATTATTAGAATTTTTCGGGGTTATCAAGCTGAGCTGTTCTTAAGTAACTTTCGAACTTCTATTTTATTTGTGACAGTCTGAGTGCATTGCCTATATAACTAAAATAAACGATTCTAAAATATAAGACTGTCATTTAGTAAACAAGTGCAGGTTTTGACTTTGACTTTAAACAACAAGTTTTGTTTGAGAGATAACATTACTGTCAACCGCTAAAAAACGAAGTAAGTTACCAAGGTTTCAAGAATGATCCACTGTTGTTAAAGGTCAAGTCATAAGCCATTTAGATGCGGCTACTAATAGCAGATTGTGGCTAGTTGTTTTTACTCAATGTAAAATGGCAATAAAAGCTTGTACTTTTGTTTTCTACTAAGTTGTGTAGCTCTCTCCCTCTCTCTCTCTGAAGGTAACAATGTCTTGTAAACATATAATATAAATATATAGTATGTCTAACCTGGATAGCGAGATAGTGACTTAGGCGTTATCGTTAATGATAATAACTTTCAACATGAAGCGAAATCGTCAAAAACTAGTGACTACCCCACTACTGTTCCATAAAATCATGGGTCAACTTAGCGGTAGAGTCGCAGCAATAGAAGAAAGAACTAGACCAGGCATATATCGCAGTGAGCACGATACCATTCACTTACCAAGTTAAAATTTATTGGCCCACATTTTCAACGCAAAAAATTGCTTTGATATTTTAACAAAATGATGCAATTAATGAAGTTAGTAGACAACGTACCTGATTAGGATAACGATAGGAGCCTTTTACACTAGATCTCCTTAATAAACTTTCTTCTGTATCTGGATGTTGCAGTGAATTAATTTCAATACCATTTTCATCATTTCTGTTATTGTAATAATAATTTGTAGTAGATAAATTTATAATCGGATTACCTTTCTTATATTTATAAGTGTTTATATTAGAAATAAAGCGCTGAGAGATGAAGGATATTGGACAAAACAACAGTTTCAACAGTAATAGAGGATTATGTTCATATTTTTTCATGTATTGTTGATTTGAACGATAACGATAGCAAATAAAGACTAGTACAGCGAATATGATCAATATAATACAAAGCGGTATCATAACTAATATAACTGGATCACTGTTTAATTTACGATGCATAATACTATTGTTAACGGATGAAAAATAAGATGAAGACTTTCTCAGTCCAATGATTCCTGCAGATGCTTCTTGTTCCGATTGTTGATGGTTATTTAACAAGGCATAATTATCAAAGTGTTGAAATGGATATACGCTATCTTGCATTATTAGTTCATAATCATTACTACTTAAAGATGCACTATGATGACAGATTGTTTCACCTTCCATTTCAGGTATATTAACAATATGATGCAATAAATCAGTTGGACAGTGAGATAAGCAAATAAATTTTCCACGGTATAAATGTAGATTTAAAGTGTTCACTTGAATCTGGAAAATAAATATATGTTTAAATATAGAGAAAGATATTATTTATCACTCTCCTGACAGACATCATCAACATAGAGCTCAAAATAGATGTACATTAGCCCAAGCAACCATTATAGATGATTATTTAAATAAAGATACATTAATTATCTGAGTTTCCACAAAATCTCATAAGATTTCAATGAAACTTTCACTGATTTGTTAAGTTTTCTATCTGTCGATTTACATGCAATAAAAACGACTACTAATCAATGTTTCATTTATTTTCACTTCTTTTATAAGTATCAGAATTAAGGAAGAAATTGCTAACAAACCGACTCTCGGTTAAAGTTCAAGAGGGAAAGAGAAAACGAAGGATACGTTCTCTGATTTCTTGCCATTTTACATCAGTCACCTGAATTGATTACACTTGATAGCTTCAAGCAGATAATCAGAATATGTAAAATATGATGAGTGCAGCTCGCTAAATCAGTTATTTCGTGGATGAACTATGAAAATTTATTTTATGACATGCATGTATAATATTAGTTAATAGAAGATAAATAATATTTTACTAATCACTCTTAAGTGATTGAAAACAGAACGAAACCAATAAAATTATCAATCTGCACTGACTGAGTTGAATATAGGAATAAAACGTTATTACATCTTAATTTACGTAACCCGCGAGATTCATTTTTTTATTTTTAAAAATTTGTATTTTTTAATAGTTGAAAAGCAAAAACCTGGATTCGTTTGAGGGTCAGTACGATTTGATTTATTGATGTCGGGAGTTCAGAGAGTAATTTCTAGCTGATGTTCTAAGTAATATACAGAGGTCAGGGATATTAATTCAAAATCGCCGAAACGATAGTACGTGGTGGCTCTTAACCAAGCACATTCTTACAGGTAAAGTCATTTTGCATTTGTAATTGAGGAGTGTATAAATCATTACCCAGTAACACTTTCTTCTCCGTAAACTTTTGGCTTCGTCTATGGTATTTCATGAATATTGTCTTATTTTCCTCATTGTTTCAGTATGTGTCACGACAAAGCAACTACAATCCTAAAACTCCGACATTGAAGAGAAACTAATTTTGAAGTTTGCAATTAGTAAAAATTAATGCACAAAAATATAGAATATTGGATACCGTACTGCCTATGTAGTCACAAACAAGTTTATTGTAGGAATCGTGACAACGCTGAACGTACCTGCGAGTCCTAGTAGTTTTGGTTGGTTGATCATCGATGAGGTTTGCAACCAAAGATTAAAATCACTCAACAACTTGCACACTTGTGATTAAAATGAGATGTTACCCTGAATATTAATGATCGAACACGGGATGCAGTAGTTATTATAAAAATCAGTAATTACTAGCAACATACTATCTAAATAACTGTCGATTTATTTTCATTAAGCTAACAACGAGTCTTAATCGACTGTTTTCACTAGCCGTTATATGTAATTGTGGAGACTGAATAATTTACAGTGGGGTGTATATTTCTTGTTATATATGATACGTTCACTTATTTTATCTGATTGTTTCTATGAACTATCAGTGATTCAGCCTTGTTGAACCGGCAAAATAAAGCTCAACCATGTTGTTGATAGTGATCAATAAGTAAGGTAATGTGGGATGATTTCAGAGGAGCTGAAATTCTGTGAGCTGGATGCTTTATTAATAGAGCTTTCGCTGTTATCATAAACATAAGCCGAACAGCTCGATTATATCTGAATTTTAGGTTGATAGTGTTGTCCAGAGGGACGATGAAAACCACCAGATTAAGCAGTCCAACTCAGAGAATCGAGCTACACCACATATAAACCCCACTTTTATACCGCTATCAACAAATATATGGAAATTATCAGACTAATTACTTTATTGTTGTACATATTTCTTAACCGGTAATTGAGAGCTATCCCTGTCAAGCTTACCTGAATCTCATTAAAAAAACAGTAACATTATTTTTCTAATTGTTTAAACACTATTTTCATTTAATTTTGCTATTGATCTGTTTATGACCTGATCATATGTATCATTCATTCTTATGACTACAGAGAACTAAACTGAACCACCAGATAATATGGTTTACTTTCTTTTGTTACGATTAAAATTTACGGACTGACGTCATTTAGTAGAGAAGGGATGAGAAGTTTGAAGTCAATCGTCACGAAATGATTTAATAAACTTTCTGAATAATATTTTTACTGAAGTTGTATTTGACATGATTTGAACTTATTTAGAGCATCTTAACTGAATGACCATGATTATCGCAGTAGACCTAAATACCTGAATCGTGAATTTTTATGAAATTAGCTACAATCAGCCTGAGTGGTATCAAAGAGCAAAAATGAGCAGAAATCTACCTAGAAATGACCTAAATCTAAAGCGCCATCAACTTGAAATAGAAATTACTAGCGAATTCAACAGTCGACCAGTATTAAAGATAAAACATAGAAAAGTTGATAATTAGATTGATTTTTAATACTTAACCATCAAATAGCAAACAAAGAATGAACTTGATGTAAGTCAATGGGTTTCTTGTACACTAGTGGAATTATATTCTGTCAACAAAGATATCATTAAGAATCTTTGGCGAAAACCTAGTTTGATAGAGTTAGAAAGATTTCAAGTTATTTGAAGAAAATTAAAAAGTAGTTGCCATGTTTGTTGATACAGTTTCTTACTGAAAGTCAAAGTAAACGAGTCTACACTGATATGATATGATCAAAAGACAAAACTACATTTTCGACTTTTAATTCAATATGCTAAAAGTAATATTTGTTTAATGTTAAGTGGGATATTTTATTCGGAACCAATTGTTCTTAGTTATGGCTCTTGTGTTTGGTCAGTAAGAATAACCTATTTTTCTGTATGTAGTATATATTATTTGAGTTTACAGTATTGATAATTTTGTTATTCGAAGAATTGGTCCAAATAAAATGAGCACTTTACAATTATTTATTATTCTTATTTCGCGGTTCATGCTTATTTCGCCTTTAGAAATTGATCGCTCGTTTAGACATTTACGAATGAATAGTCTTATCACGACAAAACTCAGTCATGCTGAGGAAACGTTACCTCAAAAAATTAGTTCAGGTGAAAAGTTTTAGAAAATATTAAAATATAAAAAAATTATTTAAGCAGTTAAACTTACTGATACTTCATCTCCTGAAAATCGATTCAGTCCGTAAACTTTGGTAAGATTATCAGATATAAATCGGATAGGTACTTTGACGTTCAAACAATGATTGCACTGATCTGGTCCAGGACCCCAGCATCCTGCATGACATTGTTCATGACAGGCTAAACACTGTCTATCTAAATGTCGCACATAAATACCATTATATTTCAAATTAGTGTCTAAATTGAGGCGTTTTTCTGAAGAATTTCCGGATACATTACCATTGGTGTTAATCCACATAACGTAGGTTTGTTCTTTATGAATAAGAGGAAAAAATTATTTATAAACTTTAAAGTTAAAATATTATTTCTGAAAAGTTTGTAAAATAGGTTAGTGAATGCAATAGCAACAAACTGAATGCATATTTAAGCAGGACTTTTTTCCACATCCGAACAAACGATTACATAATAGTTGGGCTCTCTGAAGCAACTGAATTTACGTTTGTTTGGCAAAATTAACGGGCTACATAAAACATGCTGGTTTTAAAACCTACAAACCAAGTGGGCTACAGGGGTAGGAAAACTATGAGTTAGCAGCCAACCTACTCGGAATATTTTTGTCGTAAAATCAAAAATGCTATCAGTGTTCAGAAGCGTTTTAGTGAGAATAGGAACACAATCCACTAGGCTTTTGCTTTGCAATATTAGTCCACCTATTGTGGCTTTTGGTGAAGTTTCGTTCTCTGAGCTGGATGGTTTCGTTGAGTATTATTTTTATTGTTCTGCTGAACGACATCACTACCGAAATTTTATCCTGAATATGTTTTTAAGAAGAACAATACAAATGCACAGCCAAATCATGCAAATCCATTGAAATCATACACTTGAACTATAAATCTTTTTCACTCGATGTAATATTAAAAATATGAGGGAAACATTTACACGACTTACCTACAGGACAATGTTCTACGCAAGCGTCTCTCAACCAAAATCCATTGCACTTCAAGCATCCTAAACGTTGTTCATTCGCTCTTAGGAGGCTGTATGCTGTGCACACAGGGCACCTTGGATGACATGATCGGCATACTGCAGCAACACTGGTGAATATTTCAGTATACTTTGCAAACAAAGTGTTTGGCTGAACTACTTCCGTTGTCAAATAAGTCCCTGGTGGACAATCACCTCTGATACACAGCAAGCTAACTGTTGTAGGCGAGGATGACATATCTAAGCAAGAAAAATGAAATATATTAAAATGCTGCAAAGATTAAAAACAACTGCCTTCTATATCTGTTTTAGATCCTTTAATGAGACAGAAAAACTTTTCAGCAGAATAAATAGGTTTATATTTGTATAACCAGCTATTATTTTAGAATCTATGTTCGTTGCATGTAGTTGACATGTTCCTGAATTTGTCGTAATTGGCAAATTCCTTACTTAAATATTAAAATTAGAAATTTTTCCAGTGGTTTAGCATTTAGTATGATAGGTCATTTGCCATTGTTTTAAATAGAAAGACATAACTTATGATTTGATTCTGGTTGGAATTTATGTGATAATAGATGCATCAATCGGCAGTGAAATCGGTAGGCTAGCAGAAATGTAACTGATATTGTATCTACAGTCGTTAATTCAGCATCGTCTTTTATTCTCTCAAACGGTTATCACAGTTTGAATTTATAAAATGAAACCCGTGCAAAAATTGTTGGAAAAACCGATCAGTTAACAGATAAATATAATTTTATTTGAAGTGCATTGCTTGCAAATATTAAGCGACAAAACTGGTATGAATTAAACTAACCTGATGCTTCCGTATTCATTTTGTTAAATGGCATTTGTACAACAAATTTCTCGCATTTATTACACCCTCCTTTCCCTGGATGTCGACCAGGACCTGTGCATACCGGTTGCTTTGTTAACTGACGCTGATGACAATGTGTCTGGCATGGCTCACAAATTCTTCTGTCCATATTTAGATAAGTGTTTGGTTGACATTCTGACACGCACTGACCTTCTGACTGCAGATATTTTTATGAAAAATAGGAGTGTATTAAAAAGGGGTAACACTGATGGTGCTTATAATAAAATCTATATTAAATTCGTCTCAACTTATACATGATTTTAATGATGATGAGAGTACAATGATAATGACTTGCATAAATTCAGTGTCTCAAAAACTTAAAAAACCAAGTATCCAATGTTGTTTCATTTGAATAAATTATTTACTTTACTTATGTCAACTTAATGAATAAACTGATAATTTTTGAAGTATGGCTATACCTAACTACCTCCATTCCACATCTACGTTCATTCAATAGGGAAAAGGTTCGTTCCCCAAAAGTTAAGCAGCTGAGAAACAATAGAACTAATATTTTGTATTAGTAATGTTGACATACTTACGAGTTAATAACTGAGAGTTGGAGAAATTCATAGTACTGGTAACCGTCATGCTTAACTTACCCAAGCTGTTTTACATGATCCAATACACTCATGAGCGCCAGGTCCTGTGCAAGATTTTCCACACTCTGGATGACATGGAACACAAATATCGTCAGTTTCTGCTGTACCGTAATTTAGGTGAAAATTTTCAACCAGAGAATTACCATAATAGTCATTCTTCTTTTCAGAAATAAGAAGTTGCTCTTCCCATTGTTCAGACATATATCCTGGTAAGTCATTACAAGATAGAACGCATGTGTATAGTCCGGCTCTACGGTATGAACAACGGACACACTGGTCCGGTCCTGGTCCCCAGCATCCATATTCTTTGTTACATGCAGGATGGCACACGTAGTTTAGAGATTCTATAATACCAATGAATATAGTGTAACAATTAATAATTAAGCCACATTTCTGGCTCATAATACAAGAGCAGAAACACTGTAGGAATAGCAATTTTAGTTTAAAAAAGTGATTCTACCGTGAAAAAAAAGAAATTTAACAATTTTCGTCGGCGATTAGAAATATGAGTCCACGTATACTGCGAGTTACCTTCATTGCAATAAGAATAGACATTAGGACATAAATGTTAGTCATTCATTAATACGTTTATTACCAGGTTAATGTTTAGAACTCAATCCAATTGTTTTTCATGTCCGAATTAGCTTTTGTATTTAACGCTGAGTGTGACTCAGCTTAGTTAAAACTAAGCTGTAACGTTTAAAATATTTTTATCAACTATCTTATAATTATTTCGCTATATCAAACTCGCAAAAAATAAAATCTGATCAACACATCTCAACTAATTGAGTGAAACTTTATTTGATTTCAATTAACACTTATTTATAACGATAAATTTGCGGATGCTCATTTACCTTGAGAGATTTTAATATATTTCTACAGTATAATACAGAACAGAGTTAATGTATAAAATTCGAACATTTTTCGACAATCAACAATACCGAAATTCGATCCGAAGTATTAAATCGATAACTGACTAAAAGCAATGGTTGATTCGATAAGTTAATATTCTGATTGATAAGATTTATAGTCTTCATTGTTGTAAGTTCAGTAAAAAAAAGTTTGTGATGTAACTGATCACCTACCAAATTATTAGAAAAATGACTGGTAACTGCTTTTCAATCCCTGTACTATAAAACGCCTTTCGTTTCACACCAACAGCCCCTTTTTGAATATGTAGAGAGATTTCAAAAAATTTTCAATAATGTTGAAACTTTGTTCTTTAAAGTTAATGAAACATTTTACTTACGAGATAATAGATTGCCATTCATTAATTTATAGGCTATGATATAATGTGTAAATAGTTAGAACCAAATGTCTCAGTGATGAAGAATTCGTTTGAGCATAGGGTTACAAGGGGCATAAGAAATTTTAGTCGCCTGTAACGCTTTGGATCCTTCATGTTGACTAGAGTTGCTTAACATAAAAAACTGCATGATTTCAGATCGTAAACGAAAAAAATTGTTTGGACATTTCATAACTGCAATCTTCAAACTAAGAAAGCACAGATTTCATATGTGAGAGGAGTTGGCATTAGGCAATATTCTCTGCTTATTTCACAATTCTCGTAACTTGAAGCAAACAGTAAGTTTTAATCAGCCATATCAAATTTAAGAAATGTAAAATAATTTATAAATTTAACTAATAATAATTATAAGGACAGATGAATGTGAGTTATAATATATACTTTTTAAAATGATCTTACCACAGTAGTTGTCACTGGGACCATCTATAACAGTAATTTTCAACGAATCTGTTTGATTTAGTTCGCTAAAGATACTTGTGTGAGCTAAAACAAGAGCAAAGTAGAAATATGGACCTTCAGATGAGCTCCGTAAAATTATAATACATGTAGTCTACGAATCAAGGCCAAGAATTTAAAGTGACAAGTAAAGGTGTTTGTTTTTTAAATAGCAGTTTTAGACAATTTTTTCAACTTGTTTCGTTTCCATAAGAATTTTGGAATCCTTTGATGAATATAAATATTATTCATATAAACCATTAATGGAGAGGTTTCTTCAGGTTTTATAATAAAAAAAGAAAACTGAGACAAAAATTCAGTTTTCAACTGTCTGTTCTTTTCCAAGATAAATAGAAAAGAAGTTTGAGATGGACAGCGTTTGTGAGTTCCTTGAAAATTCAGCCTATATTTTCAAAAACTCTGAAAATAAAGGAACATCCGAAAATGCAAAACTATTCATAAATAGAAGGCGGGATTGGAGTTTTAAAAATGTGAACGTTAAGTAAAAAGTTTATCATTATATCCTGGATGCATTAAACTTGCCAATCTCATAAATCCTATTTACATGTGCGACTCTCAGAAAAGATAAACAAACTTTCAAGATACACAAATAACACAGACTTTATATTGGAGTTGCAAGGTCTTCATTTAGAAGAGTTATGACGCCTATTGTTGATAGCCTTCAGAAGGCGCGAAGCCGATGACCCTTCGGACATCCAGAGCAACAATATTTGGAGGTGGACATCTTGCTTTTGCTGCTCTTTACCTTCACCCAATGCTCTGGCCCGTTTCGGTATTCCTTCGATCCCACGAAATCACCAGCGAATTCACTTATATTATCTGGACTATTCCATCTTCTCTCTTACGATACAAGACTTAAGATAACTCTTGGGACCTGAACATAATTGGTTTGTAGACCTGTTCATTGTCTTTCGACATGAACATCTACAAATATAGTTAGTTTCTGTGGAACTCCGTCTAGCTGTGAATTATTATTAGATTATTATTATTATTTATCAGATTAGTTTCAGTCATCTAAGCCTACTACTCGTCGTTGTCCACATTAATAGGTTAAAGTGAAAACCTGACAGTAGGAGACCAAGAGAACCATTTAGGTTGCCGAAGAAATGAAAAAAATACCATTTAGCAGTGCTTGGAATAAATGAAACTCATTTGAAACTAGTTGGAAAGATAAAATCACCTTCAGGAGAGATGGTATTGTACTCCGGTCATGAAGAAGAAAATACCCGGCTCACTCACGTATTTCCACCGACTCTGTCCAGGGATAAACAAAACGCACTTATAGAATAGGAATCTTATGTACCAACGATCACCTAAGCATCCTCCAAAATTAAGAAAGAGAGGATTAAAATGAATGTCATGCAGTCATATGTGCTTACGATCAATTACAACGAAGACGATAAAAATTATTTTATAAAAGGTTGTAGTCGATCATTGAGAAACGCTCAACAAAGTCTTTGACTACTCTGATAGAAGACCTAAATGCCAAGGTTGGAATGGATAACTCCGAGTACGAAGACAAGCGAAGTGGAGCATATGAGCTAAAAAATGTAAATATGAGGAAGATCAAGCATTGATAGCATGAAAATGTTCAAGAGAAGGAAACATGAGACAACTATACGGTAGAACGAAGAAGCTCACTGAAGAGTAAAGTAAATTAAAACGACCAACGAAAAACAAGGAGGACAAAGCAATCACCGACATTGAAGAACTCTTGAATAGACTAGTCCATTGAACCCACCCAACATCGAAGCAGCATTTACATATCTCCCAATTGGTGTTAACCCATTGGCAACTATTGAAATCAGCATGGCCATCAGACAAATCAAGGGCATCAAAGCAGCAGAACCAGACAACATACCAGCTGAAGCATTGAAAGTAGACATGGCAATACCTGCAAAGGTGATCCATTCTCTAGTCAGTAAGACTAAGGAGCACAGACAAGTACCAACAGACTAGGAAGAATGAGACACCTCACCAAGATACCGAACAAAGGAGATTTTATCAAATGTGAGAACTACAGAGGCATCACTCTCGATACCAGGAAAAATCATCATCATACAGAGTTATTATGATAGATTAATCAGTAAAATCGTGCATGGAAAACACCTCAAAACCTCATTCCTAGAGAAGGCTGTTGTAAGACAAGGTTGCTTATCCTCACCTTTTCTCTTTTTTTCTAGTGCATAACTGCATAATGAAGACGTCAGCATCCTGGGGGAAGGAAAAGGATACAGTGGACGATTACAATGCAGCTAGATGATTTTGACTTCGCAGAATATCAAGCTTTTCCATCTAACACAGCAACGAATGAAGATGAAGACGATCAGTATAGCAGAGCATCCGCAGCAGTAGGTTCAACACACTCAAGTGACAAAACAAGTTTATTCGATACAACACAACATGCACCAACCAAACCACACTTGACGGAGCAGCTTTTGGAGACGTGGGAACCTTCACATTATCTGGTCAGCGACATTGACAGACGAAATAGATCTAACGATGATGTAAAGACACGTAATAGTAAAACATAGGCAGCATTTCCACAATTGAAGAGTATACGGAACTCAAAACGACTTTCAATCAACATGAAAGTCACAATTTGCAATACAAACGTCAAAACCGCTCTATTGTATGCAGATGAAACTTGGATAAATACAGAAGCCATTATTCAAAAGATATAGATGCTTATTAATAGTTGTCTATCCAAGAGAATGCGAATCCGTTGACTAGAAAGTGTCATAAATAACAGGTATGAAAAGAATGGATAGCAGTTGTTTAGTACTGGGAGATAATAACCAGGAAAGAGAAGACTGAAGAATGCTTTGCGGTGGAATATGCTCCACGATGGGTAACAGGCGTAAGTGAGTTAAGTAGTAAGGAATATCTGAAAACGTTTAGTTAAGTATAAGAGGTTTGTGAATCCACCTTTTTTTCCAGGTGAGTTTGTTTCAACAATCGATATTAAAAACCATTTCAGTAAATTTTTACTTCGTATCGCTTTTTTGGATAATGGTAAAAATTACCGACTAATTCTTTAAGAAAAGTTATCACTTGTATTTGGTCTTTGTAAAAATAACCCATTACTAACGATTTTAATGATTGAACGACAGATTATATTGTGCATGTAAGTGAGCTCATTTGTGATTAACATGAAATCCAAAAACATGCGTTCGAAATTTACCTGAATTCGTCCAATGTAGTGATGATAAAAAACATAAGTTAGGATTTTTATGAAATATAATTTTGCCATGTGGAACCTGTCGAAGGCTTCTTAATCCAGGGAAATACGCCTTACTATTCATAATCATTATACTCACTCGTGCAGAAGGTACTGAAACATAAATAAAGAGGATAGAAGGAAACGAGTTCGTGAATCCATAAAAGTAGCTCATAAAACCGATAAAAGAAATTTTAAAGGACTTGTTTAGTGTGTGCTAGAAGTTTTTACACTGACCATACTATTCACACTACTTCAACTAATATCTGGATAACCAAACTCGATGAATATAAAAGGGAACTTATGAACATATAGGTGTTAAATCAAGTATACATCTATTGGCTTGAAAAAATTAAGGGTTTAGATAACTTATATTCGTTACTACTAGGAAATTTTCTTTTTTTTAATGAGTGGTAAAACACGTAGTATTACTACTACTTTAACAAAGCTATTAGTATTAAAAATCAAAACATCAGTATGAAAAATGTATTCAGCTTGGAAAATTTAAATTTCTAATGTTGAGTAGATACTACGTTTTTAGTATAAAGTAGTATAACTCGGCAAAATTAATTTACTTTCCTGTCTAATTGAGATGCTTCATAAGAATACAGAAAACCAGTGGAATTCACATATTTTTTCAAATATTGTTATTTGGATAATGTGTTTCTGAAATAAACCGATCACTACGTGAAGTGTAAGATACAACTTGTAGTTTTTCTGTGATAAACTGTTATGTTACAGACTTTAATTTTAAAACTCATAGTCCTGAATGGTATGGATGACTGATAATTATAATAATGACAATCAAAGGAATAACAATCATACACTGGTTCACGAAACATGAAAGCCTAATAGAATGACTGGTCTATAACATGGAGATCTGTTCACAGTTTTTGACCCATCAGAAAATCTCTTTACCAAGCTTCCAAAAGTGACCCTGAGTTATGTGTGCTTCCGTAAGAAGGCATTGTTAGGTGACTTCGTCAGTCGTCCATTTCTCCATGCCTACTCAGTTTACAGTTTTAAAGTATGCAGGAATCTTCCTGTTTGCGATTTTAACTGTGATAGATTTGCGTTGCCCAAAGAGCCACGAGGCAAGCCCTAACTTAGAATCCTTAAGGCTAAAAGAAAAGAGGCAGACCTAAGAACATATTGCACTGGGAATTGGAGGCAGACATCGAAAGAATTAGTAACAACTGTGAATGAGTGGAAAGGAGAACCCTGTAAAGAGTTGGCTGTAGAAACATGATCAGCGGCCTATACTTCAGGAGAGGTAACAGGCGTTGCAAGTGAGAAATACCTGAAAACGTAAGTACGGACATGGTATATGCTGAGAAACAGCAAAAAATCTTGGAACACGGATGCTCTGATTTGTGTAACCAAGCTCATACGTTACAGATTGATGCAAATTACAAGATGTTTTCTTTTGAAAACGGTATAGTTTTATCCCAAGGAATCTATGTTTCCCTTTAGTACAACATAAAACTTTCCTTTAATATACATAATTTGAGTTTAAACAAATTAATGAACTTACGGTAGCCACCGACTTTAACAAGATTCTCAAGAAAGCTGAAATTTCTCAGGCTATCACCGAAAAATTCCAAATCTAAATATATGTAACCAGTTATTTCTCGTAATGAATGTAAAGCCCATAATTGACGGTGATCTGTGATTGGGACATGATCAGTTAAAGCAGAACTATGAAAAGAATATTTAAAAAATCTAGGAATAATATAATGGTTGATTGGATAAAGAAAGAACAAATATCATAGCAGTATAACAAGAATTCATCTATATTTCATGGATTCTCGTCAGCCGTTAACAACCTATAACCATAGTGTTATTCAGTAAAACGAAACGAGTGTACAGATCTTGATTTATTGGGATGCGAATTTTCGTAAACTTAAAAAATAATACATGCTCTAGTGTAACAACTTAGAAAGAAACAGAAATCAAAGGGATTGAAACACCATATTTATTGTATAATAAATTCTAGAGAAAAAGAAACTTTTAATAAATGTTTGTAACTTAATCATTTGCGATGCTTTATTTTATTTCAAGTTCATCACCTGCTTCAAGAAATTTATCGTGAACGTGTGTAGATTTTCCCAAATGTTTTAGTAAGGTTAAAAGTTCTTAGTGCACTCGGAAGTCCCAAGTTGTAGTTTACAAACTTTGATCAAGCATATACTCAAATCCTAAGCGATCCCAAATATTTACAGACTAAAGAAAGAAGTTTGATCGGTACCTTGAGTAAATCTATGAGTTTGGGCAAAGTGGTTTATCTTAGTTTATTCAAATCCAGAACATAACATAAGCACAAGCCTTTTGAAAAAAAATATATAAAGCATTCGTTCACTGAGGGAGAATCCAGTCTGAGAATTGATTGTATTTCATCACTATCACGATTATAATTCTATACAAACGCACATTAATTATTTTTGTTTCAAAATAAGTAAGAAATCTCATTTGAGCATACATTACTGACTAATTCATAGTACTGCTTGGAGGTTACTAAACAAAAGACGCAATAAGATGATTAGAGTGAATCAATGTTCACAATAATCTAGACTATCACTCATCTAGATCAGGGTTAATAACTTATAATGGTCTATATGAGTATTAACAGTTCTGCTTATTTTAAATTAAGGGCATACGTAGAATAAAATGAAATCAATGCAAACAAACAAAACGAACCTTGAATCGAATGATTCATTGGTTAGGATCAAATTACCTTCCAATATAGTACAATTAACTAATTGATTTAAACTTCTCAGATCAAAATTACTCATTTTACGCCCATTTTTTGTTTCCTTATTAGTAATTTTACAGGCTTAATAAGAAAAATGAAAACGACAAGCTGATAAATAGATGATTGAATTTATGTAGAAATTATGAAATAATATTGAATACTTTTATCAGGTGAACTGTCGAACCATAACTATTTTACTTAAAGCTAAAAATTATTCATAAATGTTTATGAACTTCATGGGCTACAAAAAGAAAGCCTTGTTACGCAAAACTTAGATTATTTAACTGCTATTCTTCGAAGCATTCAAAATAGGTTTTAATAAAAGTGATCGCTTCTGGGCTCTCTGAGCTAAGATGATGTGTAGTAAATATAGCTTTAAGTTTGACTGTGATAATTTTCATTAGTCTTGTCAGTTTTCCAGTTTTGAAAGATCGACGTGTCAGAGTATCAAAGAGCATAGTATCTGAAAAGTACTTCGTTATACAGAACAACACACGCATACGTTTAAGGTATTTCATTATTTGATAAAATACTAGTCAAATGTAATTGAATGATATTCATTTGCCTTCATTTTAGCTATTCATTTTGATAATTTGAATTTATGGTTGTTCAAAAACGGATCTTGCATTTCCAGACAAGCGTTCAATCTACCTTGACTTCTTGAAAATCTCTGACTGGTGTAAAAACAAAAGCATTTAGTTCATATCACCGAAAAAATGCACGGTTAGCTTTCATCCTTTTAATATCGGTTGTCCACGGTTGAGCTTTTAATTGCCAAACCATTATTTTGTTTCAATGTATATTTCTTCACTATTCATGGTGTTTGCAAAATTATGTGATTTTTAGCTAAAGTGAACCTAGTACAAAGCATTAGTTAAAAAATGGACTGATATGAAATCTCATTCCTCTATTTGTAAAATTCATTTTTTATTTTCGGCCTCACATAAGCACAATCACAAAGTAATTCAAGTTTATTTACGATAAATTGATATCTGGGCTTTTATATATTGCATATGCAGTTTTAAGAATAGAACTAGTAAGTTTAAAGTATTTGGTTTGTTTTTAATTCACTTGATACGATTTCGTTATCATTTAAAATGTGCTTATTTTATGCTGATCATGGGGTCGCAAAAATGCACTGGGTGGTACACATACAGAATTGGTAACTGGTAAATTGAGATCCAGGCATTAAAATTTCAAGTCAGGATGCTTTTAACATGACAGGTTATAAACTGGTTACCGAGAAATATTTAGACAAGTGATCCAAATAGCTAAACGGAGAGTAAAGTTTGGTTGGTGAATTAAATAACTGCTATCAAATTAGAACAGAATTTTTCCATATTCGATAACACAGTGTGAATTTAGAGATGTTCAATGTGAATATATATCAGACGATGGCTTTTTATTGCTTATCAAAAAGAATCTACTAAAGTAGTGTAATATAAAGGGTGAATGTTGACGATGTACTACATATCTGGAAGTTAACATAACCTATTATGTCAATATAACTACGCTTCCAAGCCTATTTACTGGCAAGCAAGTGTTTCATTTAGGTTTTATTCTCCTCAAGTTTACTTGGGATCAGTTTAGTGTTCAGTAGATTTAACTTCTAACCAACATCATAGATAGCGATGGATTATAATTATTTGATCACTTACACGCTATCTGGGAAGAGTTATCATTCTATTTAATTTGTTAATTTTGATGTGAACTTCGGTATGGCTGTTAATCAGCTGCGGCCAAGTCGCCTAATATATTTTGGATACTTAGTTTTTCTAGAAGACGTTTGAGGAACGTTTTTAAATAATTTTTCAAATCCGTTTTTATAATACTGGATCTTCGATGGGTTTTAAGTGTGCTTCATATGTTACTTAAATTATATTTCAAATCATGCGTCACTCCAATCCCTTCAAAGTAGCAACAACTGGAGTAAATGATTGAGTGAGTATTGATTGTTATTTCAAAATCGGCTTCCACGATGGAACGACACTACTTAAAAAAACAATTACCAGAGAACACCAAACATGAAGCTTTCTAGTTTTCAATGCTTCACTTGCTAAAGTGAAGTTCTTTAGGCCAAGTAATTAGGCATTCTACTATTTTGTAGTTCTGTTATCATTAACTGGTCGTGATGTCAATTAATCCGCTACCAAATGCAAAATGAATAAATAAATAGTTTCAGCGATAAGTGGTGCCCACTGTGAGCAAATAAACATTCTGATTAAAGGTGGGTGGTAACAATTAATCGAATAAATACGCTTAATTTAGTATTCATTTATAATAATACGGCAAACACAATAAAATGAAAAAAAACTGACATTTTGGACATTTATCTTGACATGGAAGACATACACGTCCATCTGTACTCATACTACCTGTAGAGCAATGAGTCACACATACATCACCTTCAACCATGAATCCATCTGAAAACCAAAATCAATTAAACGGAAGGTAGTCTATTTTTTGAATGGAATATAGCGTCAAAATGGAAATAAAGCGAGAATTTCGAATGCGATTTTTGAATATCTGTTGTTTGATTTCGGATAGAAAATTAAGAATTTCTTTGGAAATAGACGTCAGTACAATAATCAAGATGATTCCACAATAGAGGACTAAAGTGTCGACCCATAATATCAACACTAACGCTAAGCTATCCGTAAGATATTTTCCCTTAAAGATTATACTGCCTGGTTTCCAAATATCACTATCTCACATGAGGAGGTCATGAAAACTGCATTATGAATATGGTTACGGGTAAAGTGGATCAAACCGCGAGAAGAAAGAATTATGCAGATAGAAAAACATTTCTGAACAGTGAAACTTAATTCATAGAAAACTGTTGTCATTGCTATTCGAATTTGTGCTCATTCTTGGAACAGTGTTCTTAGGTATGCAGTTCGTGAATACTAATTAAACAGTGAACAAACCTGATGAATAATTTGAGCTGTTCTACAGTGGACTGATTTCCAATTAAATTTGCCTAATACTTATTAATTTTCATGAGACGATTGAAAACAAGAATAAATATTAGCATCTTAAATTGAATAATTTGTTAATGTGGATATTGGGCTGTTCTACTTACGCACTGCCAGTGATAATTTATTAGGCGTTTCTGTTGAACAGCACTTTCTCTTAAGTACTGAGAACTTCTAATCTGATTAAACATCACCTTATAAAATGTCAGAAGCTGGGATGCGAAGGAGAACTGTATCATTCTGACGATCACTTTTAACAGTGCGCACTCGCAACGTCATAAGTAAATGGATATTGAATACCCAGAGTCATGATGAATAAAAAACCCTTAAATTTCGTGATTTCAGTCTCATGTTCTGTTTTGCGAACCATAACCATTCTCAATCTTTAATGAATTTTATTACTTAGTTTCTGTCATATCCATTCATTTTACTGATTGAGATTTTCCACTAGGACTTTGAGAAATATTTCATCAACTACAGTCTTTTGGGGTGGCCTTACAGTTTACAGTAAATTGGAGTAAACAATGAGCTGAGGCTGAATTTTGAGATTTCAATATTGGTTAGGACCTTAAAGACCATAAAGACCTGTGTATCTGAAAGATCGTTTAGATGGTCTACTAGTTAGTTATCTTACTGAATAACTACGATGCTAGCGTAATATTTCCATGAACGGTTATCTTAAACAATAATAACATCTGAAAGCATCTTTATAATATGGGCTTTATTTTCTTTTATTCAAGCAGTTCGTAATCTAGTTAAATCTTTAACAAAACGCGTACAAAATAGGTTTTCACAGTCGTTTTATTTATAAAGAAACTGCGAGCTGTGAGAGTGCATTTTGTTATTTGAATCACATCACTATATGACTTTAACATTGAAAAGATTTGTTTAATATGTGAGTGTTCCTAACGCAAGTTTTAGGATTTAGAAAAATTAATTACTTTAAGTAGTACTATTAAATGACAATTTTTGAAGATTTGCATTTCGTTTCCTTCATACAGTATCACTACGATTATACGCTCAGTATCCATGGGACTTCCAAAATATAAAAAGGATCCAATCTCACTTTCGTTGTTACCAGACATACAAATTTCAGGTTTGAAAATTATACAGGATTCAATATAAGGGCTATCTATTGTTTCAAAAATTTAGAAAATGTAGCATAGTATTAAAATAACAGTCACATTATGACTCAATCTTTATATAGATAAATTTTGACTTCTAACCTACCTGGACAAACCGACAGACATAGATTTCCTAGACGGTACTTGAACTCAGGATTCGAAATCAACTTGCCTCCATGAATCATTGTTCTAGGCGGACAGTGTGCAACACATGTGCCAGAATTTTGATACTCTTTACAACTCTGTGGTAAAATAGCATTTAGAACAAAAGCCAGTGATTTAGCTTGTGAGTTTACGTACCTTTATATAAAAATAATTACAGAGAAAAAGATTTGACTCTAAACTACCCGATGACAAGAAAGTCTAGAGAACTGTGTTATGAATGAATACTGAATTATACAATAAGTTTCTCAAATCCATATTAATATACCATACACAGTAGTTATTTTGTTTACTGTTTTTATAAACTACACACAACTTCAACTGATTCCTAGGTAATATTTTTTTTATTAAGGCACTTCGAATGGTTTGTCACATAAATAAACTGACTTGACCAACTTAATACAATCACTAAATGAAACGAATTACTCTATCAACTGTCAATTTACTAAAGTTCTTCTGCTAAGTTTTTTTAGTTCTTTATCGACTAAGTACTTAATCACTAGTCTAATGCTTCAGCAAAACATGATAAAATGTACAACTTGATTTACTCATCATTGTTTTTTCACAAAGTTTTGTCTCGTTGTCTTCTAAATTGTGAACTTCATGAACACTACAAAATGCCTAATAAAACAGTATGGAACTGAAAACATCCTAAATGAAAACACATGAATTCAACAAATGTGACTGATTAGTTTAGTGAACTTTCTATACTCTAATTCATTAAACTCTAACTGTTCGGCAGAACCTTATATTTCATAGTTCACAAACTGGATAATAGGTTCGGTTAAACGAACTGAAATTTACTCCACAATAGAAATTTATCTGTTACCATTAATTGTCATTTCCTAATCCTGCTTTAAGACCAACACATTCATTTGAATTCATTTAGATTTTGCTTAGACTAGCGAAAATAAAAAAATGGTTTGAATGTTCACATTCAATAAAACAGATAAAAGCTGTTGTAAATCTTAGGGATTACCGAGAGAAGAGGAAATATAATGTTTTTTTAATGATCAGTGCGTTAACTGAATACCGAATCACTACTCTGCTGCCTTACGGACGACTATTGAAAAGCTAGATTATTCTTAGCTTTATTTTTGACGACAAACATAATAAACGATATACTTTATCATAAAAACTGGCAAAAAAACACTTGCTTTTCAAGACCATTCTGTGTAAACAACCCAGAAGAAACTATTTTCGAAATTATTCATCTGCTTTGTAGCTACAGAAACCTATCAGTCTCAGAAGATTAAATTTAAGTTTATACATTGTGATCCTCAAGGATAACATTGTAAAACATAGTGAAATCGTTGGAGGTGCTTCAAAGATTTCAACTTTTTATGTATTCGTTTATTTTTTCAATGTACTTATAAACTACATTTACATTAGTTGTTTTCGGAAAATTGCTTAACAAGTGAGTAATTCATTAGGTCCTGTCTTCTGCACAAAAACTTGTGGTCATCTGTTGAAATTAATTAATCTCAAGTCTAACGCCTTAGGTTGGCTGTAAAATCTGTTGTCAACTGAAGGGTAGTTAACTGGTTGGCAGTTTATTATTTACTATTTAGTTCTGATGATATTAAACACTAGTGAACTGAAAAAGCATTTCAAAACAGTTTTGTCTAAAAATATGTAACGGAAATATGTAAAAGTGATAGTGTTTATTTAGTCTAGTAATTCAAAATGTAGCTTATCGTAAACATGTGTTGAGTGAATGATATAGGTTACTCAACATTCAGTGTGTTTTCATTATCTAGGTATGAATAATAAAGTCATTAAGAACTGTAAGCCATAGGGACGAGAAATATTTTCGTAAAAATAAAATGATATTTGCGAACTACCTCGGATCGAAGTAAAATTACAAATTTCAGATCAAGAATTGAATCATTCCACATCGCTTAAACTTTGTTAGTTTTGAGTTACGTTGTCATCTTTAACACACACGCGTAGATATCTCAACAACATATATCTTAATACAGACTGCTATAACGTTAGTTGGTGAGTGATTAAAAGGTATACTGCTGTATAATAAAATGCCACTTAATCATGAAAAAAATCGAAGTTAGTATAAGCAACCGAGTGTCGTAAGCACAAAAAGTGATTTTCACTAGTATAAGTTTTAATTGTTTCCGCGAGCAAATCTGAAATATTTCTGCCCACGACCACTGTAAAAAGGGTTGCATGTAAACTGTTGTGTCATTATTTCAATTAGGTATAAACTTCCATATTAATGAAAAAAATTAAAGATAATTAGATTTTATTCAGATAACAAAGTTTTCTAACATGAATTAAGTGTAACATCTTAATGCTACGAAATCAGGGTAATACACGTACCATACTTTATAAGCAATATTTATTGTTTCTCATTGTCACAGCTTATCATATTACTACTAAAAATAACCCTCTTGGGTAAACAGTTGTAATGGCGCAGACAATGAATACAATTTTCAAACAATGTTATATTCATAAATATACTAAAGCGTATTAACGTACCACACACTGTGAAGCTAAAGGTCCAGTACATCCTCCTAGACATTGTTCATGACAGCATGAATATGAATTTTTTATTCGTAAACACCGGTTACATAATAAATTTTGACATTTAGATTCTAAATAAAGAAACAGTTAATATGTAAGCACTTCGTTTTGAAAATCCATCATAATTTCACTTAAGTAAAGATAAAAAGAACACCAATCCTTAAAGTCTAGATCGTTTAATAATATTTGTTAAAACGATAGCTTTTTCGGACACAGTGTACTAAAAGCTAGTGAATTAACAATGTTTGTGATTTCCTGATGTCTAGCACATAGAAAAAGGACAAGTTTTAACATCATTTCTGCCTTTAAAGTACTTGGATTCAACCAATGTGCTGATACTCTTTCTAATAGATTATTATTTAAAAATTTGAAAAAAATTTGATCATTTTAAATAAATAGCATATTTAGATAAGTATTATCAACAAAACGATGTTCCTGTAAGAGAAAATACTCAACAACATTTTCGTACTAATTACCATGATTCTGTTAATATGACTTAAATTTTCACCACCTTTCACTATCGATAATGCCATCAACTCTCAAGCTAACTTTAATTAAAAATTCTGCAGAAAACTTTTAAATAAAAATTCCAATGATTGTATGGGAAATGGTCGATTTAGGCTATCTCATTGTTAAAAGTTTATCAAATCACATAGGCTAATCTTCCAGATTTATCTTAAAATGCCGATCCATTTCAACTAAGCAACTTCTTTGAAAATGTTAATCAAGGTTGCCAATTTTAAACAGATAATTTAGCAGTATCATATACAGAATTTTGTCAATTTAATTTTGAAATAACCAAGTAAAGCATAGAACCTTAAATAAAAAACTTACGATATTGACATTCTGACAGAGATGGGCCCCAACAATAGGTGTTGTTGTTGATTTTTGGGCAAAGTTTGGAGCAAGCTGTAAGTAGAAATAAGATAATGACTCTTTATGTTACACTAAGAAATACTATGTATCAAAAGAACTATATTAACTCAGTAGATACCGGAAAGAAATCTGGATGTAATTTCTCTAATAAACAGAAAATTTTATTTTGTCATTTAGTAATAAGAACAAACAGAGCATGGCTCTATACTAATATAAAAAGATTTCCAACAATATGATTTAATACTTATTGAGAAGAAGGATTATTAATAAACAAAATAATGATTTGAACAATTCAGTTAGACAGTTTCTGTGTTACATGATGTGCAAAAAAGAATTAATGAAATATTTTTTGATGAAAGATCGATGTTATGTGAGAAGAATCAAGAGACGACGGTTGAAAGTACAAAACATTACAAAAAGAAATTTAAAAAATTGTTTGAATATTTTGCAAGGATAAGGTCAATCAAAGTTCAACTTTATACTCATGTATCGATTATTTCACTCAAATGTTAAATAAGCATAATGGAAATGTGTTTTTCGGTTTATGCATAAACATATTTGTCAGACAAAAAGCAAAGGCAACAGTTTAATAACACACTAATGGCTTGTGAGGCTCATTTAAGAATCTCTAGATTTTGTTAAGGGTTAGTGTAACTTTACTGAAACACTCATGTAATGCGACATAATATCTCGTCTTCCTATTTAATCCATCAAAGTCAAAATCCTGTATATTAAGCTACTCAAGCAAACTCGTCGTTTCTATAGTCACGGTTTCAACAAGCTTTTATTGTGTTACCGTGATCGAATTCATTGTTTACTGATAACGAATACGAAATAAACTTTATACTGATATACAATCTAAAGTATGAACATACGATACCTAACGTCAAATTTTCAAAAAAAAGATCACATGTAAACACACGCTGGTTTATTTACAACAATTAGCTTTTCATTTCACGCTTGATTCCATAAAGAACTGCACTGAAATATATAGTCTTATGCAGAGACTAAATTAGAAATAGACTTCTGAAGGATTAAAAATCAATTTGTGTAATTAAATTTTCATAGCAATTAAAAGAAGTTTGAAAACAATAGGCAAAATTGCTTAAAAATTAGAAAAAATATGCCCTAATTAATTTCTATCAAATATATATATATATATATATATAACACTTATCCAACAACGTTCATGACTAATTAAAACAATATGATTTCGCCATAATGAGTAAACAGTAATAGTAAATGAATATCAGCTAATTAAATGATAAAACACTTGTGGAGAATATTGAGATGAATAATGTTCAGAACAGGCAGAACAGTATAAGAATAGTTATTCATCACATGATATGAGCCTATATAATTTTTCCATAGTCGACTTTCTATAGTGACTGTAATGCTAATCATTATCCCAAGCTTCTTTTCAATACAGTTTCGTTAGTCAAATTTTTTGAAGTAATCTATCATAATATTAATTTTCCTATCAAGTTGATATGCTATGACATGTGATGCTGAAATTCGATCACCGAAAGACGTTAACCTGCATTCATAGTAGCTATTAGTTGGAAATATCACTTGTTCTGTGGTCATTTGAACTTTGTGAATTTCCAATGGTGATTTAACTGTATACCTTATGGAAATTAGTTACAGCTGATTTAGTAGTACAAGTTTATTGTAGGGAATATTTAATTCTTATAAAATGTTTCCCTCGCATGTAAACATAAACAAGATGTTTGAAACACCTTCCAACTAGAGTCTGAACATGATTCTAGTTAGACATAAGGAAAATCTTAAAGTAAACGGCTAATTTTCAAGTCGATTTGTAGAAGTTTGTCATAAAGGACTCTATGGAACTATGTTCATCCGTTTGAATTAGCCGATTTGACATCGTGAGGTGCTATTGGTCAGATAGAATCATAAAATGTTTTAAACTGCTTTAGAAAAGTAATTACATTTACATAGATAGGGTTGTTCACTTTGCAAACTGAAATTCGACATCTTGGAATAACTGAATAAAAATGCCCTATTTTCTTTATGTTGTAGCGAATCCTAATAAAACGAGAGATGAAAAGTATGTTTGGAAAACAATCTTTTACATGCTTCTGGTAACTACCTTTTAAGTGTGATGGAACACTGAAGCATATGACAAGATATTTGTGAAGTCGTATTTCAAAATTTTCATTATTCTGTTTACAAGTTGATAAAGTGTCGAATAATTTTGACAAAAATAATATCAAAAGACTGATAAGTGTGATATGTTTAAAACGTGGCGATTACTTTGACATAGTCAAACGTCTAACAGTGGGAAAACAACAGATATTCATAATGTGAATCGTGTTTATGCACGTCATAATCAAACAATGTCCCTAGTTTCAAAGTTTTTTTATGACGTCGCAGTGAATAATCTAACTTTATTTAAATCTACGGTTTTATGTATCGTAACGTACAATTAGAAATCTCCAAATAATGTCTCTTGGTTATACATGCAGTCACTTAAGAGTTGTTCTTAAAGCCTAATCATTTCAAGATATCACAAATCTATACCGGCAGGATAAAACAAATTCTAAACTAATTTTAAAAGGCGGAAAATGTAATTAAATGGGATAACATTAAGCTTAGTGATAAACTGATAAAGTTTATTCCAATCATGGAAGCTTATTCATAAAATGTTTCAAACTGGTTGCATCTCAAAATGACAAATATTTTGCAGGTGCCAGAAGCTGATTTGAATACAGAAGAAATGATGCAATGATTTTTTGCATTTTATCAATTCTTACTAACTCTCATTTGATCATGTTTCAGGAAACGAATGACACAGTTCGTGTCCCATTACTCACATTTTGACTAGGATTCTAGTTCATAAGGAGATGAATATTCCACTAATTGAAAGAGTAATGAATTTAAACAAAACACTAAATAGCTATTTGACATACCCTCAGATGAATATTGATGTGCAGTTAATGATTAATTCCTAAAATAACATAACATAGAAACAGTTAAAGTTTCGGTCAGAAAAATCATACTAGTTGTATGGAAACCGAGAGTTTACAACTATAATGTACTTTGCTAAGATCTCTGTCCTAGGAAACTGAACGAATATTCGATGTTATCATACTTTGCTATTTTACAAACCAAGGACTAATCGAAACATCTTAAAAAATACAAATGCGCCAATATTAATACAACTGATTCGTAAAATTATTGTCCGAAACAGTTACACTAAACAATCAATAATTTTGATCAAAAAGAGCCTACGGATAATGAAGGTTGTTATACGCATTGAACAAAGTTTGTTTACTCAAATTAAATAATTAGTTCCCGTGTTTAAGCAAACCAAAGTCTCATGACCATGTTTGAGGAAAATGATCTAGTTCTAACGAATTTATATATATATATGCATAAAAATATATATATATTATGTTGAAGACCTATAAATCGTGAGAAGACTCTGTAGGAGTTAGTCGAATCCAGCTCAGAGGAATGTATACTTTCATTCAGTTATTTATCGACTTTATTGCATAAAATGATATAGTGAAAAACAAGCAGATATAAAACTTAATCAGCTTTACAGTGAGTTGACTCATTGAAAAGCTCTGAAGCCGAAGTTCACTATCGTGAAGGCAATAGGCGTTGAATACAAGATCTATAAATTTCGTCACAATGAAAATACGACAGTAACCCGGCATTTAAAGATTCATAAAGTTCGAAGGCAATTAATATTATAACTCCTAACCACCAAATGATGTTTGCAGAGAAAGACAGATTTCACATAAAAAACTCAGGCATTTAGTTATCTGAATATTTACAGTGCAAAAATACAATAAAAGAGAATCTAATCGGTAGGAAAAATTGACCAAAGTTTTTGCGATTTTCAGATAACGATAGTCGTGGCCTTTAATTGCTTGAGATTCCAATGAACAAACATTATTTCAAACTCATTTACAGTAATATTTGGTCAGTTTGGAGAATCATTAGCCACTGATTTACTAAATTATGTTTTTCGATTATTCTATCAAAACTTCAACTGAGTATAGATGTGATTAAATATTGATTTCAACCATGTTGACATAATTTTATTCTGTATATGTATATATATATATATATGTAGTGCGTCTGTGATTCGTTAAAAAGAAGAAATGGAAAGACGATTCAAAGAGTAGTATTTTGTGAGTGCTATCTATTAAACTGTCTGAAAAATAATGTGTCTGACTAAACTGTGGTTATTTTTTGGGTCAACGTTTTGCTATTAGGTAACATGAGATTGTTGTGTCTATGTGCGCACATGAAATTTGGTTCATTTACATGTCTTTGTGCTTTAGTTAACCTGTAAAACAGAATGTCCATGAATATAGCTAAACATAACAAACAAAATCAGTTGAATAGAAAAAAACCTAAAATGTAACAATGTACTCAAACAGTAAACAAGATAACACATGCATCAACCAGTTTGGTTTATAAAAAGGTGTGTATACGAAAATCCCTTCAACTTATATCTGCAAATATACACTTTCGGGAGTAATATAGATAAACTAGCAAATATTTATGTGACTCATTACCATCGATTTCATGAATAGGAAACTTCAAAAATTCGCTAGTGAATAGGGTTATCAGCTGAAATCTATTGGCTGATAAGATTTACAAATTAAATGTTAACTTTGGATTAGGACTGACCAGTCAAAGGATTAATGTATATCTACCAGTATTTTAGCCCACCATTGAATGACATGTCGACTTCGACGCGTAACCTAACAAGTTGATAATAATTGTTGTGTATTATCTTCCAATTTATAAATTTATATTTATACTTGATAGTTCTTTCAATTAGACAAAATAATTGCTAGTTGAAGGCATTGTAAACAACTAACTAAATATTCTAACAGCTAACTACAAGATAATAATACTATAGGGATGAATTTTATGTTTGAATTTCCCAAGATTACTTAAGGCAAGGTTTAAAAGGCGTAAAAAGGTTCTTCAGTTTCAACATTAGAAAAACCACTACTCAGCTCTCTGAGCTAAGATTATGTGTAGTAAATTAAAGAAACCACAGTGTAAATGGTCATCTAGATGACTAAATACCACTCTTACAAGTTCACTTTAGTGTAAGCAAATAAAGTCCTTCAACCTTGAACTTACGATATTGGTGTTGTTGGTAAGAAATAACCCTAATATCAAATAACTCGCCGCAATTGCATACAATGACTGCATTCTGATTTCATTCCTTTCTTAATTATTAGTCCATTTTCTGTCGAAACAGACTTTCGTACAGACTGATAGTCAATAACTTTATCTGAACAATCTTGTAATCCCTTGGAAGGGTTTGTCCATACCTGATTAGCTCATCTCTTATACTACAGTTTTGTCTGACTAGCTTTCTAGAGCATCATTTCTAATTGCTAGTTTTTCAGTCACGTAACTACCTATTTTTTTATTCATATCCATTGTTTACTAGCTAGTAGACCATACTTATTTTACAACATCCTTCATTATATAACTTAAGTACACTGAGTTTTTTTTTAATTTGTAGTTGTCTTCAGTGAAATTAAGCGTTTAGATTTTAAGAAACATCCAAAGTTAGCCAAATCGACTTCAGTTATTTTTCACTTTCTATCTCTTAGTCACAATAATTTCGAAGAATTTACAATTATGTTCAATAGTTAATTTTTACATACTTTTCTATTTATGATTGATGAAAATATAGAGATCAAAAACAGTAAAAAAAAATGATTGAAAAGTTAACATACTGAGTGGAAATACCAACATGCTAAACTCACAAATCACATGAAATTGAAACATGCGAATCTTGTAATTATAGTTACATTTAACTTTGTCAAAGTACTATGCTTTATACATTACTTTGTTTCTGAAATGGAAGTCAAAAAGATTTCAAAACACAGGGAGTTAGGCTGTAGATGACATAGTTCAATAAGGATTTGACTTATTCGTAAATAAACTGACTGGCTGTTTTCAAACTTTATATTTCATTTTATTTGCGATGAACTGTCTGTCGACTTAGAAACAGTGAACATGATGTAGAATATTAAAAAGGCAATGAGCGAATTACTAGACTTTCTTTTATGACACTGAAATTTTATTTTCTTTCTAGGTAACGATAGATGAAACATCTATTTTAATAACCAGATAAAAGTAAAACTTAATACTCTGACTTCAGTTGAAATGCAGACAGATTTAGTTCATAAATTGTCAGGCATAGATATTCTTGTGCATTGTACCTTAAAGGACTGAAGTTAAAAAGTCAGCAAGCTTTCACTAATAACTTATTTATATATGTCACCCAAAGAGATGTTGTCGACTTTACTTTCATCTAATTAATCGATGAAACGTTAAGTGAGAGGGTTGAAAAAGTCATTTGAATAAACAGCTATAATTTTCACTTCTGAGGTTCGAATGACTCATAACCAAACCTTAGCAACTAAGTATGCTCGGATTTGGTTATACTGTCACAACTAGGGGCTTTAATGAGAAAAAATATTAGTTCGTTACATTTTTATTGGAAACGAAACCGCTGTCCACGCTTTATTTTTAAATGACAACAACTTCTGACACACTTGCTGCCCATGTTCTACTTCTCAAATATTCTCTGAATTTTAAGACAGAAATGGAATTGTATTAGAATAGGGCAGATAATTTATCATTTAAGGAGTTACCGTATTCGTCTTGATCTTATTACAATAAACAAAAAACGCAACATATTCTACTGACAGTCAGTTAAGTAGTATTTCTCGAGATTCAGGAAACGATAATTTTATAAGCATTCATACTTGATATGTGATGGCAAGAGAATCTTCTTGAATATACTTCGTTAGCGACGTAACTGTTCTTAACAAATTGTTGGTTACTGTCGTTTATGATTACATACCTACTATTAAACCGGATGTTCTGCAGTGTTTCAAAGGACTAAACTATAAAAATACAAAATCAGGGATCGAGTATCCAGCTTAGTCAAACGACTGACTTCATCGTTTGGAAATCTTCTTAAGCTGTATTAATGAATAAAATTTTGTAGATATTCGTTATAATCAACCAACTAAACCTAGAATATATGTAACTCATAAGTTTGAAATATTTCCTTCAATCCACTAAAGAAAATTCGATCAACTTCATTTAAAAAAGAACATTAGTTTACGGTGTATATTTTATGTAAAAAATTTACGCAGCTCTAAAAATGGAGTGAATTAACACAGTAAGTGGATAGATGTAGGTTAATACTCTATATATATGAGAAGTTAGCGGGCCTTTAAACTGCCAAATGAAACGTTTTTGATAAACGTCTGAAGTTACTAATTAACGACACAAGTGAATTTTTTTGTCAAGCAAAAATAACGAACATTCAGGAATGCAGTGTTTCATGTGCTCTAAATCATGCATAGACGCACCGAGATCACAAGATAGCATTGTCAAGTTCTACTTCCGACTAATTCAAAGCGCACAATTGTAGTCCTATCTGAGATTTCACACAATATCTGTGTTTCAAAGCTAGGTAAGTTACTGGCGTACTGTTTGGTTAGAATCGAATAACGAATTTTTTCCAAAGGTGATCTATTCATTTACAAATGCGGACTGTTTTCGCGTATTACAAAGGATTCGCTGATTGAATTGATTAATGCCTGAAAATGTTAAATTCTGAAAAATGTGTTTGCATGTTTTGTAAAAACCCCGAAAGGGTGAATTCGAATGTTTTACATATTTTCGGTAGCTGTCATTTTTTACTTTGACATAAATTCTCAAAAAAAAGATTGAAAAAGTAGCTGAATTAACATTTTAATTTTAACCGAGTCAATAATCACTCTCATGGCTGAATAATGAGAATGGTTTTTAATTGGTAAATCTCATTTCTTGTAAACAAAAAGTGAGAACATTCTTATACATAGCGGAAATGCCACAGAAGTCAGAATCAAATTGTTTTTCAACTAAACATGAGGAATCTTAACCAATATCACTGTACAGTATGACTTAAAATTGTTAGCTAGAATAAAGTAGGATCCAGTTGTTACGCCTTTAATCACCATGTTTACTTTAGGTTTTCGGATTATCTATCTTCGACAACAATCTTATTCGTACCAAGCTGATAATGAATATAACAAAGTTTATTGATAATGACGACTAAACGAATAAGTTTCAGAACTATTACATGCCTTGGATTATATATGTATATATATAATATTTAGTCTTTTATTCTGTGTTTTTATTATCCAAATCTTGTTCATCACAAACACAAATGTCCACAATCCATATTGCTAAGAGAACATTTTTTCATGTTAATGGCACGTAGCTGAAATACATGTGAGCAATGAGTATTGCTAAGATGCTGTCAGTTATGTATCCTGAACTATTTAATATATATCTATGTACTATAAAAGTTCAAAAAGATGGAATTTGAAAAAGGGTAAACATTCAACAATGAAGATAATTTACAATGAATACTATAAACCTGAAGAGTATAACATAAAGTTAATTGTCTTACATGACTTTACACTAGCTGGTTCTGGTTCTGGTTCAATGTCGTATGGATTGTGTTCGTACAGATGTAGATCAACGGTGATATTTTTATCTCCATAACTGTTTGTTAGGATCAATTTATGACTGTAAACGTTCTGCTCTCCAACACTTTCAAATAATTCAGTCCAATGGATGTTATTCGGTAAATATTGAAGTCCAGGATTATCGTAGATATAAACACTACCACGAACTATAGCTGTATAAAATAATAACAAGATATTTATAAGGTGGAAATATTTGATATATTCTCTGGAAAATATAAAATCATTATGGAGTAAATGCACTTTGTCATTTCTAGCAAACAAATTTAATTTTTATAAGAGGTTTATCAAAGTCACATAATTCCTAATGTTTCAATTTAAATTTATATTCAAAACTAAATAAGTGTTTATTCAATATCTTCTAGTTTTAACAAGCAAAAATTCAACACAATGTTTCAGAAAAAATCTTAACTTTGCGAAAATTCATTCCATGGGTCGATTAACGTTAGGTTCTCATTCAATAAGAAAAAGTAGGTAGATAACAACATTTTAGTGTTTAATGGCAGAAACTAAAATTGAGACCTTAATTAGTTCATTAATAGTTCGTCAAAAAATATCCTCTTTGTCCTATGACAATCAACGCGAAACGATATTTCTCGAAATTATGTAAAATTTACAATCTAATAACAGTCAAAAGTATTAGCACTAGAATTCATTTGAAGTTCCGTTTAATCTTCTTTTTGAGATCAATATGTGTCATGGTGAAAGAGATAAACGTATGTTTAGCTAAAACAAAACTTATGTAAGTATGTTTAAAAGCTAACAAAAGTAAACTTTATATGACGTTATATAAGATTCTTGGAATTCCTGAGTATTACCAACGAAAACAAAATCTATTACAAAAAATAAATCTCTAATCAAAGTACAATTAAATGACAAATAAGTATAACTATGCTGTTAAGGTAAAAACATGGTAAAAACAAAATACGGGAAACACTATATTCACACTAGTTGTTCTCATCCATTATCTAAAAGTTAAAAAAACTCAACAACATATTCTACTAGCCGCTCTTTTGGTTGTAGCGCCCCTGATACATATCCTGACTCTCAAACAGACAGAAATAAAGTAATACCATATATTGTTATATAGTGATTCCATTTACAAAACTTCACATTTGCCTAGTGAGAAACGGAAAGTAAGAGAAGCGAAACCTAACATTAATCATGAAACAAAAACTTTAAAAACTATGAAGTAAGGCTCGAAAATATAAGTGTAAGACAATTTTGAAGTAAAGTCATTTTAAGTCACCGAAATTGTATCACAACCGCTGTGAATAAAATTAATTTCGGTTGCCTGAGAGTGTTTATCCTGGCAAACTTTTTCGAAGGCTTACCAACCTCACAGGTCTATACAACTTTTTAGTTTGGCCCCGTTTTGCCCTAACTACCAAAGAAAGTTGGAACGTAAGTGAAAATGTTCAACACATGTTCTAACTGTTATGTTCAGTGACGTTCGTCAATGCGTTCATGTAACTTACCGCCTTTACTAATGATTTAATACTAAAATCAACAGTGATCAGTAAGTGACTATCTTCGAAGTAAGTAATTCATGTACTAAATTCGAATTAACTCACTATTTCACCAAACAATATTTTGTGTATGAACTTTGATTCATTTAATTTTATTTGGTCACTACAATGGTTATCAGTGCCAACAGTTTGGGATTAACTCTGAACATATGAGCGAACCAACTATGAGCAAAGTGTATATCGCCTCTGGCGTCATTACTCTTTAAAGCACACTTTAACAAACATACTTATTTGATTCCAGTTTTGTTTGAAAATATCACCATTTACACTAATTTTTTTACAAGTTTCGATTATACATCCGTGGGACATTTCAGCTATCTGTTGTTGTTTTACTTATGTATAGAGAGCGAGTTTTCCTATCTTTTTGCAAATCGTTCTAAATAAATTATTTCCTTTTTCAGGAATTTTCGTAAAGGGATTGTAATATGCTTCTAATGACATAGATAATCAGTCATTTATATAACTGTGTACCTATCATTGAAATTTGATGTACAATCAACGCTCATTCTACTTGTCTATTAATAATAAGCTAGTTACTGAAAAAATACTTCTTTTACACAAATGTTTGATGCAGAATTACAAAATTAGTTATTTTTCTTTTTATTAATCTTGTAGAAAAATCATTTGTCAGACTCAAGAAAAGGTAGACCGAGTAAAAAATTTCAGATTTAGTTAAAATACCACAAACGGGCTTGGTCAAAAAGAACGAAAGATTCTTAATGAACAATGAAGGTCGTATGCGAAAGTAAAGTTACATTGACTTCTTGGAATTAGTATGAAAATCATTATCTCATATTTTTCAGAACACCAATAAAGACTGAAAATAACTTTAAGGATGGTTTTAGTAATAAATAACCACGTTGTTCTTTATGATAGATAACGTCAGTTTTTTTAAGAGATTGTGTATACTTTTTTAATGGTATTTTTCAAATATCACAATCGTTGTTTCATAACGTTATGAAAACACAGGAAAAAAACATGCCACATATTTTACACGAAACAATAAGAAGACTATATACAGAAGTCGAGCATCGTATAGTGACTTGATGTTGTGCCCAAACTGTGATTATTAGGTTTCAAAAAAACGTACTAAAGGTAAAGACACTTCTTTATTTACTGTTTTATAAAAGAGACCATGTCTAACGTGTACATCACAGTTCAAGACATTCAAAAATGTAGGCATTTAGCTAAAAAAAACTCTCTAGCCTGCCCGATTCCCAATTCAGCTACCATCCTTTATTTGTGTTTCGTGGACGCTTGATGTAAACAATTTCATTTTCAGCAAAATAATCATTTAATTTCACGACAAGTTATTCAACCTGTCGATTTTCCTCTAATCTTTAATCTGATAGTATTTCATCATTCAGTGGTTGTAAATTTTATTTTGATGCTGGGCAAACTTCATTTTACTATCATTCATGTTGCATAAAGCTTTCTCTTTGGTTTTCCGGTGATGTAACCCATGTTGTCTATTAATAAAATAAAAATTTTATTTGCCTTTTTAACTGCTACATTGTGAAACCAGGCCTTCTTCTTCTTCTCATGAACAATTGATATGGCACTAAATTCTGTTCAAAATTAATTCTTGAATTAAAGCTTATATTCTAAAATTTGCTGTAACCATAGAATTTGTTCGTTACTGTTTACCAGATTTCGTAACTTGTTCGCATGTATTGATTACTTTGTTTTTAAAGTGGTCTAGGTTTAAAGTGTAGTGTTTTTCTACTCAACCACACCAAACATAAACATTTTCTTAACGCCGAATAAGCAGTATTAAACAGCAATTGATACAGTAGCACTAGTTATTTGGTACAAACTACATTTTAACTATTGTAACCTTGTTATTGGTACATAAAAATAAGGCTTTGTATGATTGCGTTACGGTGGCTGGAAGAAATAAACTGCACTTTTTAACATCTGATAATTGTGACATACTTTCGTTCATTGATCATAGCATATATTAGGTTTGATCTAGGGTTTTTGAGGTAGTTTTTGTTGAAGGCTATTTGTGGTTTTTTTTAAGGTAAAACTTAAAATTGCTGGATTAATATTAATAGTTTCTGAATATATGAGAGCAATCCGACTGTAATAACTAGTTTTTACATAGGATTTGAAACCATATTTAGAGTTCACCAAAGGATTTGACATCAAGAGTTACTTTAGTTAATTACTCCGACAAGGATAATCTATTTGGATAATAGATCTCGAAGTAAAACACCTGTACAGTTGGATCTATACGGTGAAAAGCAATAATTTTGTTACAGGAGCAATATTGTTTCCTAGACGTAAGATCCATTTTAGAGCTGGCTGTTTACGTAAATAACAGAACAAAATTAATTAAATTTTGAATTCGATATTTTGTGAGGTTTTGAATTTAGATCAGTAACTAGATGGATTATTAGAAGAATATCTGATATTAATGGACTTGAAGTTAGAGCATAGTGATACCAATGTTCGTTTACACAAATAAAATGGTTATCCGATATCAAATGAACACGACTTAAACGGATGATATAGTTAAAGTAACGAAAATCTCGGAACTGCAAGATGTCCCTGTATAAAGTAAGAATAACCCACGGCAAACTATTCACAGAGTATAAACTTGAGGAACTGTAAGCGGTTATTAGCTCAATAGTATCATCGAAATTTCACTATAAACTCGTCACAGTTAAAAACAAAGTCAATTATAATTTACAAGTGCCATGAATCACAATGACATTTCTTTAAATTGCCTATTTCCTGATAATAGTATCCTACAAACAAGTATATATATATATAATCAATTTATAAAATTAAGTCCATCTTATTAAAATAATGTTCTGATTAATTAAGAATACATGCTGTGAACGATTAATTAAAACTTTAAACTGTACTGTCGAAAAATAGTAAATGTAACATACTAGCAGCTAATATTTACCAGGATATATATTGTTTGTATCATGAGTTTAACACATAGACAGGAATAGCTCGAAATGGGATTTTCAAAATAACTAGTTACGAACTGAAGAACAAAACTATGTTTACAGAAGCTAGATTTACTTTCACTCTAGTTAGGTTAGTTACTACCTCAAACAGAGAATCGAAAGACTTCTCGTTCAACAGATATAAATCGTTCAGTACAAGTAATCTTTTCCTTGACAACTTATTACAATTAACTTATTAAAATAAAATACAAAATAGAAAAGTACGATCTCTGATAAAACCTATGACTACCAATTACTACAGTTTGACAGTTTCGCTACACTGATGTGTTTAACCATAATTTAACACTTTCATTTCTAAACGTGTGTAGAAATTCACCGTTAAAGTTATATATATCACGTTATAATGACTAAAGTGAAATAAATTTGGTAATTTTTAAGTTCGTGATTATGATTTCATTTCACAAACCTTTACCTAATATATATCTGCGATGTATTCAAATATTCGGATACTTGAAGACAGTGTAAACCGCTCAGCTATTAACGTCATGTTTATATCGATGCTTCCACATTGCTTAATCACCCTGTGCCTCTAATGCTAATGATGTGAGTACGTGAAATGTTATTCCTTATCAGCTGGGACCTGGTTATAAACTACATGTTGGAGCTTTTATTATTCAAACCTTGTGTCAAATAGGACATCAGGCTTCCTTAGCTAGGGCTTTAAAATCTCGGCTTCGAAACGCGGATACAGGATCCAAGTAGTGCTATTCATTTAACCTCACCTTGTCAAGATGAAGAACTATGGCAGTTTACGCTCCATGTATTTGAAAGCCCTACTGCTGTCTCCTATGGCCTCGCTGGTGAAGGTACGGCATTTAGTTCCAGAACAGAACTAACTACCACCAGTCAATAGTCGCTAATGTGTTGTCCGACTAAACGGTACAGTAAGAAATCGGAAAGACAGGGGAACTGGCGATTGCCTGTTAGTTGTCTCCGACCACGCTCCCACAGTTCGCGGCTCGGATGAGGCGACAGATGAATTTCGCATCAAGCATTCCAACTTCCTTCAAAAAGCTAAGCACTGTTATGTATTAATAGCGGCGGGGGACTTCAGTACTCAGTTAGGAAGATTGGACGAAACTGAAAGACGTCTGGATAGATCTTATGATCCCATGGCTCATCAACTGTCTGCCAAAGCTATGCTCAGAAAAATCGTCTATTTCTGGCAACTACTAAGTTTTATTGAAAGGAAAAACATCTTTGGACACGGCAACCCCAAAAATCGACTCAACACTTGAACTTACTAGACCTCATCGCTACTAGCCACTAATGGAGAGGCTGCCGCTCGTTCTAGAACACATGTTTAGGTTCAGGTAATGTTCTACTATGAACAAGTATTTATCTGAGGCTTTTGAGAGTAACTAGAAACAGCAGTGATATCTGCTAGCACGCCAAAGCATAAGGTTAGAGAGAAACAGTGAGTTTCAGTAGCATCTACTAAACTGATATACGCCCGGAAACTAATCCCGTCTGGCTTTGAACATGATGAGGAGCGGAGGCAACTTAAGAGGAGGCTGATAAGAAGCCTACCCAATGATCGCGAACAATTGGTTCTAAATACCAAAATATCTGTTTAGAGATTTCGGGAATACTTAATTACTCAAATTCTATTTTGTAATTTCACTGTTAAATACTACTAAATAAAATTCGATTCCAATATTTTATTGCTGTTTGAAAATATTCCTTCACAAATTTTGTGAAATCTAGACATATATATATATATACACTTGACTTAATAGTGCAGATGAGTCAATGACCTTCTCACTGTTTGTTTGTCTAAGTAACTGTAGATGTGGCTAAACCTAAAAAATCAGTGAGTATGACTGTTTACAATACTAGAAAAGCACGTTTTTACATGTCAAATTACTGTTTATAAATATAATTTATTTTGCGATTACTGGAAAGAAAAATTTATTTCACATCAATTAGCAGTTGACATTCAAGTTTATTGTGCTGCGTGTATATTAATATACAATATATATAATGGACAAATTTATATCTTCACAGTTTGCTTACATGCCTCATGAAGATGGTGATTATTGGAAAATTCCAACTAGTGTTTAGCTAGTTATCATGACAGGATGTTTGTTCATCAAACTCGCTGATTCAACACAAATTATTTCCTGATGATTTCGCTCTCATTTCGACATAGAAAATGCTTGATAGATACTGCTAATAATGTTTACTTATTTTGGTTGGCGTAAAATTATCCTTAAATCAATATATCGCTTTTCAGGATAATATTACTATCCTAATGTAAATTTATAGATTCATCTAATCATTATCAAGGAAAAATTCATTGCGAACCAACATCTAGTAAATAGTCTTTTACAAACCAGAAGAAACACCTGGAGGTCAACTTAACATATCTTAACATAGCATATCTCCAGGTGGAAATGCGACATTTTACCGCTTAACCATTTGAAAACTAGACAATCTAAATTAAACTGATGTATACAGCTATTTAAAGTTGAGCTTAATATAAAGTTGCAATGCTTATAGCTAAGCTATGAATTGCTTGAGAATTTTTTATTCACAAAACAGAAATATAGGAGCATACTGTTTACTGTAATCAAGCCTGATCCTTAGACAAACTAACCTGCTGCTCTTCACAAAGCCTGAAATCCATTTATGAAGCGTAGTTAGCACATTTCGATCAAAAAAAGTTTGCATATCAATTTGTGGAAATTAACTTGACTTCGAGAAATTATAAATACTGAAGGCACTACACTTGCATAATACTCTCTGAGGTTTCGTGCATAACAATACTTTGAAACTTAGAAAAACATGGCTTCATTCGTGTTCACTCTCCGGCCACTGTTTTTTATTGATTATAAAACTTACTACTGATGATTTTCAAAATTAAAAAGCCATTTCAAAAAATCACTTACATTTTAAGTTTCGTAAATCAACATGTTTCAGAGTTTCTCCATCTTTGTAGTTTTTTCGGATTATCAAAGCTGCGAAATCTAATTCATCGCGTATTTTATAGCCTCCGTTATTAGCTCGAATAACTCGTAGATTGGACAATGGTATATTATTCACATTTGAATGCATTATAATCAAGTAACCAGATATTTCTTGAATCGATTTCAAAAAACTCAAGTCGGGATCAGTTCCATCAGCTGATTTGAAAGAAAAATGAAAACTATCTCATTAATTATTGATTTTTGAATCAGTAACAAATTCAGGTCATATGAATAATGTTAATACGTCGACATCGCTTTTGTCTTACATGTGCTGTATTGAGAGAGATCGCTACCAGTGAAATTCATCATAGTTTCTAAACAAAAGGGGAACTAAAGAAAAAAATCTAGCAAACCTAGTTTGATGTCAGTTTGTTTAATTTTGCTCATTTACAACTTATCAGTCAGATGATCCTCGTTTACCACAAAATAATAGCAGTAATACATAAGAACAATAGAAGGCTTAACGTTCTGCGGAACCAAACATGTAAAGTAGTCAGGAAATAAGAAAGATTTACAATGTTCTAGGTTAAGAGTACAATATTCACAATGTATTCTGATTATATGTAGTAATAACTAGTGGTACATTAAATCTGAAGCCAAATAACCTTTGTACACTTTCTAATCAAACATGTGATTGAAAATATTGAAAACTAAATGTAATGGACATCAAAATATGAAAAACAATGTACAAAGTTCATTAAATCTACCCACTTGGTAGTTTTTGATTGGTTACGTGAGATTTTGTCTCAACTCTATTCTACGATTTTTACTTATCTTCTCAAACTATTTGAGATTAGGCGCATGTTAGATCAAATAAAAAAAATTTCCAAGACCAAAACAAAAGTTTGAATAAGTCTTTAGATTGTGAAATCTCCGGAAATCCGTGACTGACTTCTCTATATTCTGATTCAAACGATAGATGAAGTGAAAATTGCTTGCTTTAAAATCACTAGTTGTTTCCCGAATAATTCGTCTTGATATGAGGCTTATCTTAGTGTCATTTATATTTTCAGATGTTCGTATTATCATTTTAAACTCGTATCGACTGATCTGGGAACAAAAGGTATCAATAAACAGTTAATCGGTTGTAATTAAAAGATCCTCGTTCTATTCTTTGTTTAAGGTGAATTTTAACTGGAGGAGTCATATGAACTCGTTATTACACTAAAACATTTGGTGGAAATTCAGGAAAATTTTCCGTTTTACTACAAGCACTTTCAGAGTGCTTAGAATTAAGTCATAGTTAAAGAAAATGACATGATAAGGGTGAACTGTATCACATGAAAGCAGCATTAGGAACATTTAATGGTAGCTTCGCTTGACAGAGCTCTTCCTAAGCAGATCTAAACACCTAAGATTTCTGATTTTCCTCACAAATCAGTATCATTTAAGATCTTAGAGAGACAGTTAATGATTCTATGTTACTTTAAAACCATAAATATAGTGTGGAACAAAGTCAATATTTTATTTCTCATAAAAAAAATCCCACACTAATCTAGAACACAAACCACTAGACACAGCCAAAAGCTGTGTCTAGTGGTATCACTCGATAGAAGTGAATAAAATGGCAGTGACAATTAGACGAGAAGTTAATCCAACGGTTATAACCTTTACTTGTCAAGTATGAAAATGGAAGCTCACTATCTCTCTCTCAAGAAGGATTTTACATTACCTAATGTTTGCGGAAATTCGATCAGAATCGGTTAGCCTAAATTCTGATGTTTGTTTAAATGCAGTGAATTTGTGGCAAAATCAATAACCTTTCTTTTATCACTTGTCGAAATATATCAAAACTCACTTTCTTCCGATTACCTTGTACTATTTGAGAAAAACGTTAATTGATACTATAAAACCTGGCATACTACCACCGCTTTGATTCACATGAATCACGTGTAGAATTTAATTATGTTATTTATCGTTTTCATTGTATTGAGTATTGATTAGTGTTATTACGGTAAAACATATTTATGTATTTGCGTGCACGCATATTAGTTTCTTTGCGTGCCTGCATTTAGATAAACAGTGGGTAGGCAAGTACTTTCAAGCAAACTCTTTAAACTTTAGTTAGTCACAATAATCAATAAAAGTGAGGTCTATATTTTGTACTTAAGCAAAAAAAATTTCTGATTTATTAGGATAAGTGAGTTTAAGAACATTCCAAAATATTTGAGCACAATAAATCCTATGAATATTGATTTTACTTAAAAATGTTTTGCCATTTTGTAGCATTAAACAGGTCATTATTAATTTAAAATTATTACTGACAGCCGCATCTGAGACCAAAAACGGAACCTTAATTTAAAACTTTGTTAAGCTACATTCTTTTGAAGTTATTTAATAAGTAATAAGTAGTGTAGTGTTTGAGACAATTAGTTAGAATATGAATGATTGCACAACTTTAAATCAATCAACTTGCACGTCATACAGATGGAGTTTACTCATCAAGGTTCTTCTTTAAGAAACAGAGAATTTGTTCAACTTACTTATTTTTAGTGGAAAGTGAGAAAATAACCTACACGTTAAGAAACTGGCTTGATTACAGTGTTGAATATGAATTTATGTAAGCTCACTAGAACATCGTAAATTTTTGGAGCACATGTTTGTAAAAAGCTAAAAATAATCCGCCAAATATATGAACGATAAAAGTTAACAAGGGAGAGCAGAGAATAAATAAGACTATACTAAAAGGAAATATCTTCCAAAAGTAATGCAGTTTTGATGTATGTAATATTAGCTTTGGGAGAGAACAATCCAGATTCCAGTGGAGGAGGAAATCAGGAAGATGCGGTGGAAGTGGATAGGACACACTGAGAAAAGCACCCAGCTGCGTCACACGACAAGCCCTCACATGGAACCCTCAAGGTCAAAGTTTAAGAAGAAGGACAAGGAACACATGACGCCGAAAAACAGAAAGATATGAGAAGAACGAACAAAAACTGGAAAGAACTAGAAAGGGAAGCCCAAGACAGAGTAGGTTGGAGAAAACTGGTGGGCGGGCTATGCTCCGTTGGGGGTAAGTAACAGGCGTAAGTAAGTAAGTAAGTAATATTAGAGGCCACTCGATTAACGTATCTATATACTTTCATTATATTGTCATCCGTCGAAATCTTTAACCTGACTACAACTCAAGACAAAGACTCACTTCGAAATAAATGATGAAGCAGCAAACAACGTTTATTAACTTATCCGATTGGTTAATAGCTTAAATAAAAACCTAGGATTAGCTACTGATTCAAGGAAAAAACGAATTTTATGACAAGCTAAGATCTAGAGTGTGTTACTAAGTCTACATTATTTACTTCTAAAAACTTAGACCAGTTTTCTGATAATGTAGAACAATTTCGTCAATATAGATTATTCATACTTATCTATGAACCAGTGAATTATCCGTTGTTGAATCTTTCAGTAACATTTTGGCAAAAGTATAGTAGCAAGGAAAATAGCTTTCTTCATTTAATGAATACTCTGAAGTATATTCTTCAATACAATTAAAAACAACTGTGAAAGATAATCCATTTATTTGAAGCTTTTTTAAAAAACTCTTTTCATTAAAAGAAAAAGGAAACAAAAATAATCCACAATCGATGTAAACCTAGACGTTTTTCCAATTGTTTGAGGACTATTATTATGGAGTTGTGGCGATTGTTGAGTTTCAATGAAATCATGAATCGATCAATGGTAAATTACAATTATAAACCTGAAAGAATTGGACTGCTAATTTGGCCGAATATGAGACTCATCAGCTATCACCATGCGTTCACTAGTGAAAAGCCGTGGCCAGTGGAGTTCAGCTGGATCGGGTGTGAAGCAGTTACCTGTGGATTGGTTAAAGTTATATATTAACTCATTTAGATGCTGGTTTAGTGGTCTGGAGGTTAGATATTCTTGTTCGAAACCGAAGTTCCTGGATTCTGTTTCCACGAGCGGGGGCCATGAATGAGCAATGTTGGTTGGACTCACAATAGGAAGAAACGGCCATTTAATGCTTCCGTGTTGCTAATGGTAGTCTAATATTTGTCGATTCATGAATTCTAAGTTTTAAGATTATAGTAAAAACGTTAAGATGAAGTAAAAGACCCGTAAAAACCCATGAAAATGGAGGAGCATTAATTTTGTTTATATTGTATTTTTATATACCTGCCCAAAACCTTAAAGAAACTTTTGGAAATATTATCGACTAGTTAGTTATAAATAAAGCAAGACGTGGTACATCTATAAATACGCCTGCATAGCCAAACCTCATACCACTTCTACAAGAGAAAGGTAACAAAAGTTAAAATACAGGAATTGAAATACGATTATGATTGTTAGAGAAAACGTTGACCTAAGCAGTAAGGTTTGCCAATATGAAGAGTTTCAATAAGTGGGAAGTATGAACAGTATTAGAATATGAAAATGATGTGACAATAAAATCTGAATGGAATGACACTAATGCAGCTTGTTTCTAATGATAATATCAGAGGTCTGAAACCACCTATTCGGTCTATTCTATAGCGGTTAGACGTGAAGATTGATCCTTTCTACACTGCTTAGACTAATAATCAGTGATTTAATGGATTGATGTCAAGCTTTTATTTTTTTCCAGTAATGAGGATATGAAGTCAACCGAACTGTAAAAATCCTTAAAAATTATAGTTTGATGAAGATTCACTCTTGTTTTGAACGTGCCAGCAGATGTTGATATTACGTGTTTTGGAAGAGGACTCCAGTAATGTACCACTATAGATGACTGCCGCAGTTGGTAAGCCAGTTACATAAGGTGAGGCAAGCATAGGGTAAGGAGCTAGAACTTTTACAGACTACCATGTTGTTTAGGTCCCACTTACCTGTACTTGTTTTTTCCTCTCATTGAAGAAGTCACTCATTCATTATGAAGATTTATGAAAATTACGTCTACCGAAATGCCAGTACCTCTCACTGCATATGAGTGATTACTAAGCCTAATGAAGAAGATCCTCCGTTTGAACTAAAACTTGTAGGTTTCAGTACATGATTTGCCAAAGCACTCTCCTTCACAGTCATCGGAAACCTACCGTTATAAGAAGCCCCAGATCCTCCATTACACGTCTTTGATAATTAATATCAAATCCGGTAGATACTAATTTTAGGCTTCTGTTATTTTTATTCCGTAGCTGAGTGTGATTTGAAATAAAATC